GAGTAAATAAAAACGTGTCTTGGTCCTGCTAACTTCTTTACTGTTGTTATTAGCGAGCTAATGCTAGCTTGATCAGCTGGATGACCAGTAGCTCTAGTGCTGGAGGCTAGTGATGGGAAGTTCGAATCATTTTACCGACTCGGTTCTTTGAATCTCGTTCAGTGAAATGAATTCGGGAGGGGGGGGTGCTAAGATAAATTCCTGCATTAAAATAATGTATCATGACAGTCTGGATGATTTGAAGTGATCATTTATTTTCACACTAGCATTCAATTATCACGGCATAACTATTACGCTGAACTCTTAAGTACAAAAAAGTTAAAATAACGAAACCTGTAATTATTTCTTGTGTAGGAATATCATTCACGTCTTACTAAACCTAGCCACGCGAAAGTGAACGAGGTAAACAAATCCTTTCTGTTTCCTCCTCAGAGCGCAGGGCCGTATCCGGCAGATGAACGAATCGTTCACCTCCCGACTGTGTCTTCGGGTCAATGTTTCGTTCATCGTTCATTTTTCACGTGACCTGCATTCAACGAATCATTTCCGTCTCCTTGGATGAGCCTATGCAAGTCCCGATGTGTGGCCTCGAGAAAATGAATGAATCTTTTTTTGAGAGGACTCGTTACTCTCGAGTCCTTGTAAGGATTCGTTCAAAATGAACGAATCGTTCACGAAAGACACATCACTACTGGAGGCTCCTTACGTTCCTCACGTCAAAACGGGACACCGTGGTGTCAGGTTACATTGAATTAGCATATTTTGTCATTTTGGCCTTTAGTAACGCGTCATGTGACTCACAACAACGGCCGGCGCTGCTGGCTCCTCTTTCTTCTACGTCGGCTCGCTGCTTTTACTGTTGCGCATCTCCGCAACTCGTTGAGTGATGAAATAATCGCACGACACAACGAATCGATAATGAAATTTGTTGCCAACGCTTTTAATAATCAAATGTTATCGTCTTCATCAATTCGTTGTTGCAGCCCTAGCTTCCTGACTGACCTCCACCAGGTTTTAGGAATAAAAGATTCTAAATCGACTCTAATTTAATCCAACATTTACAATTTGAGCTTCCAAGGATTTTGAAAACAAAATAAGATAAAATAGTAATAGTTCTGCATTCTGTTTCATAATGATGGTCTTTTGTTAAAAAATCAGCACAACCCATCTTATCTACAGTGGTAAATACTGCAGACATGACTAGTGGGCATATTCTGTCAATGGATGGTCAATGTCATGGCAGTTCATGGTTTAGGTTTCCTTAAATGAGGAGGGACCTCAAGTACCGTGGTTGTGCTTTAGGTCTCCATGCAGGCTTCCTCTTCTGCAACCCGGTGGATTGCACGACAACGACATCATCTGAGCTTTGAGGCTCTGGGCGAACATTCTGATGAGAATACACTCAGTGTTCAGTCACACTAAAGCCATCTGCATCACATCTTTCTCAGACTGCTCTGATGTCCACCAGCATCTCTGGCAGCTAACCCTTTGGGAGAAGCAAACAATGTATTCCAACATGGAGGGACCTGCTTGTAAAGGTTCTGTTAATGCTACTCTACATTTCTCCAGTATGTATTTCTAAAAACACACCCTTAAAAAGTATCCGCATGTCCCGGACGAGTGTGACTGCTTCTCACTCTCCATAAGAAAAGAATACATAACCTTTAGAAGCTCACAGGAAATGGTTGTGGCACCATCTGATATCGGCAGAATCACAGAGAAAGAGCATGACACATGCCCTACGCTATATTTCTCTACAATAATCCTACTTTTGGGTTGTTTTCACACAACAGAGGAATTCAGAAAATATATTGAAATGCACAAACTCACTGTTGGTCAACCTGCTAGACCAATTCACCATTTGGCGTTGGAAAACAAATAAATTTGGGCTTCCCTGTGTACCTACTGCACAACTGATGCGTTGCAGTGTAAATAATATTAGGGCAACTGTGATAAGCTTTTTCTCTTAGCTGTGTTTACACATCCTCTGCCCCGGTAGCATATTTTCTCATTAGCATAGGCTGTCAGGCAAATGACAATTACTGACGTGAACACAAGACCTGCATTCATACACGTAAAAATAGCTTGACACTTTCAGCTGACAGGTGTTAAAATGTATCCAGCCTCAGTGAACTCACAGAGCCAACAGAAAGAAACAATACCGTGGTGCTGTGTTGACTGAGCAGTGGAGATTTTCTGTGATAAATGAGGAGGATGTGACCTCATTAGAAGGGCAGGTGGTGGGGGGGCACTGAGCCTGGAGGCCATGTCATCAACTGGTAGTAGATATAGCACACATCATTAACAGGGCTGTGGCATACGAGGTTGTTTGACTTCTGTGTGAGCAAGGCATAGGATTTTTGGGTGTGGGGGGGGTTCAGTACTAAGTTCCAAGGCTCTATGTACACATGGTGCTCAAAGTCCTATGTTTTCGTTCTAGGATCTCAAGTCTATATTCTCATGTTCCCGAGGTCGCACACTCCCTGTGCTCCATATGCACAAAGTCCTATGTTCTCAGTGTGGTATGTTCCCAGGGTTCGATATGCCTAACATCCTTTTTCATTCCATTTTCAAATGTCACATTGCCCCAGTGTCCAAAATGAGAGATTTATGGATTCTAAACAGTAGACATATAAAAGGGCCATGTGTGAAAATGACGCACCACTAACAGCAACCTGTTTATACAGACACACTCATGCCTGATTTCTTGTTCATTAACTTTAATGCATCAGGTCCATAAAAGGACACCCACTGCTGTTTGGACATGTTGTTTACCCTCAGACAAAGAGACACGTAGGTGGAATTAAAGGGTATGTACACAGTGAAGGATACGTATACTATATACTAAAGGCCGAGTTCACACTCAATAATTAACATGGAGTGTCATTATCAGCTCTTTCCAGTCAGGCAAGAGAGGAGACAGACATGGTTGGAAGCTGTAAAAATATAATCTAGTTAGTATAGGACACACACACATACGCGAGTACACAAACGCGCACACACACACACACATAGACACACACACATAGACACACATGCACACGCTATAAGAAGAAATATAACATTGTTTTTATCTGAACGCTTTGAGGGAGCTGAGTGTATGGAGCCAAATCCAGCTCAAAAGTTTTGATCATTTGAGAAAGTTTTAGCTTTGCAGAGGTGTCGTTTGTGTTTTAACGACGTTTTGCTGACCAGCTTTTGAGTCCGAATCTGTGAATATCGTGCCAACTTTACCAAACTCGTTCACAGTTGTTTGTGAATGTGCTCAACTTCAGAGATTCATGCATAGTTGTTGAATGGTACAATCTGAGATAGTTGAATGCTCTTATTCTGCGATTAATGGCAAGTATCCAAAACAGCTCGCTATACAGAACTTTGTCACTGGCGTCAATGGTTTTACATCCAATCCCAAATACAGGCTGAATGGAATTGACAAAAGAATTACCTACTAACATCTATTCCTAACCACTATTCCTTGACCTATGTGGAAATCGCCACAGGGTCAAGGAAAGGTGGTTCATAGAACCCATAAGGAGTTAAGAAAAGACAACTGCGGTGTTTCGGGAATCCCACCCTGCTTTCACTAAGCTTATGTGCGTTTCTCAGTCATGATCTTTATTTCTTGCAAACGGCTGAATGATAAGTCACTTTCAAAATATTGACGCCGCAAAGAATTGTGGGATGGAATTACCTCCTTTCTTTTCGTGGAGGATGGTCCAGTAGTTTCTATGCTAAAGGAGCTAAGTAGGGAAGCATTGAAGCTCCCATCCTTGCATTAGAAAACTCGAACAGCCACTTACACTCCATCCGGGTCATTTCACTCAGTTAGGAACCTTCTTGAGCAAATTTGACAATTCGAATCCAGCCATACCATATAGAAAGTGTTGATTCATAAGTCTCGGGGTGACTACGTTTCCTGAAGGCAACGCGGTTGAGGAAGGTTTTCAGCCTTATGTGTTAAGCTGTCAATCATGATTACCCACCCCTCCCGCTTAAGGCCACGCCCCCTACACAAGATCAAGGCCAAAAGTTTGAATGTAAAAAAAAAAGATTTTAAAGTGAAAAAAAGATTTAATCCGAAACCATAAAATCTGCAACCGAAAAATAAAATACCGCAAATATCAAAAGAATATTTATGTAAACAATTAATCATTTTCAAATGATTTAAACTTTTGGCCCAGATTTGGCTCCATACCAGTGCAGCTGATACATGTTTACCTGGCGTGTCATGCTGCAGATGGGATTTAGGAGGGCAAACAAAAATTTGTCAGGAACACCTTTAAAGTTGACCGATCTGGGGAGCGCAGTGTGTGAGGGTTCGGGTTAGGGGATTAATGAAGGATAGCAGGGCTTTGAAAGGCCGACGGAAAGCCCTTTGTTTAGCCTCTATTGCCAGTCGCCATCTGTTATGATCCAGTTGCCAGATTGCCCCGAGCTACATCATCAACTCCCCCACCCCTCCGCCCCCGCCTACAGCTTTTGATCCCTAAAAGTAAGCCGTTCCTGACTCCGTGGTACTCACCAAGTCGCTATCTGTTCTAACGGATGGTTGGCTGCTGCGTAACACGAGGCTCCTCCGCTGTCACGCTGGCCACTTCCCACTCCTCAAAGGAAGCAACGACCTGGAAGCAAAGACCGACCTTGCTTTGGCTCGTCTCCAAAATAGACCGCTACACACTCACAGGGTAGCGCAAGTGACAGTTTTCACTGTGCGCAAGCATCTGCAGTCGGTCTCCCACTTTGATGTTGTGTTGCTAAAATTACTAGCCGGCGACTCTCTGTGCTCTGTAATGCCTGCTTGTTTGTATCACTAGCTGTTCAAAGGTTGATTTTCACTTCAGCATTTACTTGGCATTCCCTCTCCACCTATCACCTGCTCCTTTCCCCGTCCCCTTCATTTACCTCATTAAATTCAAACCCACCCGTCTCTCCTGAACCTCTCCACTCGCCTCCATGTTCTGCTGATTCATCATCTCTCTGTGTCTCTTTCTCACGTCCAGGCCGGGCCAGTCTGCACGGCAAGTCTCCTGCGGATAGAGAACGTGCGCTCAGACGACCAGGGCTGGTATGAGTGTAAGGTGCTGATGCTGGAGCAGCAGTATGACACTTCCACAATGGCAGCTGGGGTGCATCTGACCGTCAACGGTGAGCCCCGTGAGCACGCTGTTAAATACAAACATACTGTACTATAACACTCAGCAGATTTAATCGCTTGATTATTCATCAACCAAGATACCAAATCAGATATGGGAGCCTATGTTAAATTTCTTTGTATCTCTGTCTATGTGAAAAAAGAGTGATAGTGATCACAGAGAGACAAAAGACTCTCAAATTACTTTTTTGAAGAATAAGTGGTTTGAAGATGGACGGATGGATGGATGGATCCGGAGTTCCAGAGTGGATCCACATCGAGAGGTCCAGAGTAACAAGACACTGATTGTGCTTTATTGTTTGTGGTGTCTCACTGTCATAACTAGAAGGCCCATGAAGCCTTCTAGTCTTCTAGAAGCTGATACAAGCGCAGAGCTCCTTTCCATGCTCTGTCACCAGTTACGTCTCCAGAGACGTCAAATGAGTAACCCACACAAGTGTGAACACAGATTATTCTTGCCATAAGTTGGTAGCTCAAGCTTTCTTGAGACACATAATCAAACGGCATGTGATGATGCCGGTTGCCGTGGCAACAGACACTCCAGCTATGGTCCCTGCACACGTGGTCATGGTGTATCGGCTTGGTGTCCTCGCTGCTGTTGGTCTATTTGACTTTTCCCTGCCTCTTCTCCCTTTCTCTCCCTTTCTCTCTCCCTCGCTCTCTTTCTCCACTAGAAGTGCTTTTAAGGCCTCTAGCTTCCTCCTCTCTCTTTCTGTCTCCACGTTCATCACTCTTCTGCTGTCTTTCCGTGTCCTGTTGACACGGCAGACATAGAACAAGGCACTGTTGCAGACAGGCATTGGAGTTGGTACAGGGCGTCAACTTTCGGAAATCTTTTGGGAATAAAAAAACACAGAAATTGTCAATTTACTCAAAGGTCTGTCTAATTATGTCAACAACTATTAAATACATACATTACATGTTATTGTATAAAGGTATATTCCTAAAATGTACCGTACTTCTGGGCATGCTGAATAAACAAACAACAAACTGGAGGTTGATACTATAAATCCAGATTTGAAACATGATCCCACAACGCTAAATGGATGAACTGTACATCTTACCGTAATCACTGCGTCCTCCCTGAGACTTGTAAATCAGGAAACGGTTGTGATATTAACCTTCTGGTCCCTGAGACCGTATATTTTTAAATACTGTTACGTTTATGGGCGAGATTCCATTGTTCTTATCAAAGAAAAAAGAGCTAAATGTCAGTGAGGAAACAGCCAGTGTGGGTGGGAGGTCAATATGAGAGCATACAATATTCAACTTTCTCTTTAAAAAATAGCAGCTTATAACATGGATGGTGAAAAAAGATGGTAGCGCCTTGTTATTCAATAAAAACAGGCGGAAGAAGGCTCGTCTTTGCTACCGTAGTGGTGACACCACATGATGCAAGGCAGACAGCCTTTACAGAGTTCTCCTTCATTGTCACGTTTGGAACCGTCTCTGAGGAGATGGGGGTTCACATGGAGGATAGGAGGCGGCATCGTATAACAGCAGCTGCATTGAGAGCTCTAGCAATGTCTCGATTCTTTCACAGACGAGGCCGGCGAGACCGAGGAGGATGAAAAAAGGTCCTTTGATCGGGAGATTTATGGCAGTGAAGCGGAGGCGGGGTCAGAGCAGGGCCGGTTTGACGATGTCATCCAAATCCAGCACCGGAGGGGACAGTGCAGTTGGATCATGTTTAGAGCCTCCCAACAAGATTGTGAGGCTCTGACAAGCCAGCATGTTTTTTGGAGAGGGGGGGAACGGGGTGGAAAACAACAAGGGTATGGTTTAAAACATATGCTAATAGGACAAACTTCTGAAGTAAAGTCAGACTCCCTCCATGCTTGTCCCGCTCATCACCTGCTGCATTTATTAAGTTAGTGTGTTAAATGTGACCAGCACCGTCTGTGAAGTGTGGCTAATATTTTCTCAGAAATTGCCTCTGCGGTATCTGCAAGGTTTCAGGTCCAGCAGTGCTGCTATTCATAGACCCCGCCTCCCCCCTCCCCGCCAATCCAACTCTCTCCCTATTGTCGTCAAACATCACTGGCTGTAAAGGCTGTGTGTGGAAGTCGTTGGTTTGTTTATTTATTTATCATAGACTTTATTGCCCCGTGCATCGCCACTGCTGCTTTTCATCGCGGAAGCATTTGTCCCGTATTTTCCTCGACCGGCAAACCGACGTTTGCGGAGATCTCCCTCCAAGAATCAGAGGCCATCCTCGCGTCCTTATAGTCCGCCAATGACGGTTTGTATAAGCAGATTGTGGGTGAGAGCGCAAAAAAACGCTGATGCTTTTCCTCTACAAATTGACACCTGTGCTCGATCCCCGTGAACGTCTGTTTCTGAGACACGGCCCGTGTGTCGAACAGGAGGTGAAGGAAGTGAGACTGGGTTTGGAAAAGTGATGTGATTATTCTGCTGTGTGCTTGAATTGAGAGAATTACAGACGTTTTGCACCGAAAAAACCCTGCCCTAAAATCCCTGTAACTCTTACGGCTTATTGCTTTTATAAAATGATTACGACACAAACCGCCTGGCAAGGTTTCATTAAATAACCACACAGCAGCAGCAAAAAAATGAATCCCAATGTCTACCAAGCAATGTTGTTCCTCAACAAACATAGCGGAAAGATTGACAAGCGACACAGTAGCATACAAATAAAGCATGCTTAGTGGTGATTGTTAGCATTTATTTATTTATATGAAGTAGCATTATATCATGTTAACATTCTTCTTTACTGGTACAGGTGAGGCCATTGGCTTACCGGTACTTAACGTGAGGAGAAAAATGAGTAGTCACAATGTTGCAATTATAGTATAACCATCATGTATCTTCCATCAGTGACTATTATGTTCAAAAAAGGCTTTCAAAAACATGACAATAGTGAGAAAACATATGCAAGTCGAGAGTAAATTGTGCGCTGTGGAAGGAGGAGTTGCTGTCACAGTCATCACCTCTGTTGTGTGGGGGAAGTGTGTGCTGCGGGAATTAGCACTATGCCTGAGTTTATGGTTGCAGATAGAATGACATGTCAGCCATTGAGAGGCTCGTGGATTACACATGTAAGCAGATCAGCTTTGGTCCTAAGGTGATTAGATTGAGAATATCAAAACAGGAATTATGACCAAACAAAATCTGCATCGAATCACAGACAATGATATCAACATGCGTGCTCGATGCTGGGGTTGGTTCAGCTTGAAGGGGGAATATACAGCTTAAGTATATTCGGTGGGAAGATGTGCCAACTGTCTTGTATGATCATCCATCCTCATAAACTAGAATGCCTCTTAGCTAAAGAGGATTCTGAAAAATGGTTTTACAAAATGCTCCATTTCTGGCCCCTCCCTAAAGCAGTAATTTGAGTGTAAGGGCCCTGTTGGGCTAGGAGATTTTATTTTTTTGCAGTTTGTTTAGCTCAAATTGTTCATTAGATATTAAGACATACTCGTTTCTAAAACTGCACTATACTGTGTGTGTTCAAAATATGCTAAGCACATTAAGTCTTGTTATGAATGGATGGTTTTACACAAAACTTGAAATACAAATAACTTCCTTGAAGAAAAGATTAGAACTCCTATTTCTTAAAAAGAATTATGCTGCTGCAGATACAAGGCAGTTCATATAAATGCTCTTTTCATCCTGTTCAAAGGCATTCAGGTTAATTCCATTGCTACCTGCCCTCAAGTGTCCAACTGAGAGAAATCTAAAATGTTGAACTTTGACACATGCAATCAAGTGTCTCCAAGGTCTCTTGGTTGCCTGTTGGATTGGCTAGTCTCTTAATATTATTATGAACAAGTCTGGACTTCTGCTGCCAATTAGAACAAACCTTTAAAGGTGGAATAAAGTCAACAAACCGATTTTGCTTTTGAGTAGTTTAAAAAATTAAAAAATGTATTTTTCAAGTGACAAGTTTAACAAGTTTGGGTTAATCATTGGACATTCCAAACCAAGTAAAAAACACATATTTGTACATCCATGACCACTGAGGGCATTTAGAAAAAGATGGCAAACAAACGAAGAAACAGATTATATTGTGACAGTGTGGTTTAATGTACTGGTTTATTTTGTAGTTTCCTGCCTGTCCCGTCCCTGGGAAAACTTCCCTTTCTGCCCTGGTGTGTTTTCTCCTGTTGCTGATTGCCTGCCCGGCCCCTGATTGTTTCCTCCTGTGTCCAATCACCTGCACTTTCCTAGTGTATTTAAACCATTTCTATCCCCTGTCTCTTATCCCATCATTGGGCTGTCTATGTCGCTGTTGGAGAGTCGTGTTGTTAGTCAGTGTCCCAGTTGTTCGTGAAGTCTGCCATTTGGTCCTACTTATGCACTATACACGAGAGGGCTGAAACCTATATAATAATAACAGAACATTAACCCACACTGTCACACATATCCCAGTTACATTAGATGATATTTAATTGAAAATTATGTCACATACAGTGCAGTGAAAAGGCATTTTTTCCTAGTTTCTTACGTTTTCCATATATGTCACATATCATCATACAAATTTTAATGTTAGAGAAAGACAACCCGAATAAATAAACAAATGATGACTACCAAACATCCCTGGCGTGATGTGAAAAAGTAAAGTGAAGACCCTAGAACAACATAAGAAGAACTGCAGGCCTCAATAGCCTCAGTAAAGGTCAGAGGTGTCAGAGGTGTCACAGATGTTCTGACCATTTCCTGTTGAAAATGCGTTGGAATGCTAAAAGCTGAAAGCTGAAATGAACTTCAGAAAATACAGAAAGTTGAGGGGAATTTTAATACATTTGCTGAAATTACAGATATTAGAAAAGCTGAAATTAATTTGAAATTGCTGAAAAAGCAGAAATGAAAACAGCTGAAATGAATTAGAAAAATTACAAAAAAATACAGAAATGAATATTAAAAACTTCCTGTTAATACAGGCATAAGAAAAACTGAAACTATTTTAAAGAATTTTGATTATCATCACATTTATGAGGGAAAAAACAATTACTTCTCTATGCTTTTGACCTCAGGTGATGATGAGACTTTATGACATAGATGAGTCCGATGTCAAGGATTCTCTCATTTCCCGCTCAACAATTGAATGAAAGATTTTTATTGGACAAGAGTAGACAGTATGTAATTGACCCCACGTGCACAGTCTGTCAGACTGCGTAGGGGTCTGACAGACACACATGCTTCTGTAAAGGATGTAGTTAGCGGACCAATCACAGCCTTGCAATACCAATATTGGATGGAAAATCACTTGTCGTCGTAGTAACCTAGAGTCCTTTCTATTGTCATTATTTTTTGGTCCAAGTTTACTTTCTGTCATCGACTGCATCAACAAATATTAGAACAGTAATAAGAATCATCATTGTTTAAAATAATAAGAATAAGAAAAAACATCACTGTCATGAGTTAAGACGTTTGTTTAGGTTTATAGTGTATACGTTTCTTCACAAACTGTAAATGAAGTAGAGGTCGATGAGGCTTAAAAAGCTAAAGAAACATTACAAAATTTTAGTTCGATCTCATCATGTAATTAGCACTCTGGGCTAAGAACTAGTGAAACATAATCAGTGATTATGAAAAAAGGGGAATAGATATCAACAAGAAGTTTTTTTCATAAAATAGTTGAGACTTGTGTCAACATTTGAAAGAGATTGGCGAAGCTGAAAAATCTGAAAGTTGAAGAACTTTAAGAGTATTTGAAAACGAACTGCATTGAAAAACCATGTTAAAATGATTATTGATTTATATAAATTCAAGCATAAGAGGTAGAAAGCTGAAAAGTCATAGCTGGAAAGCCAGAAAGAAGCAGAACATTTTAATATTTGAACGGTTTTAATAGCTGAAATTATGAAGGAGTTGAAAGGTGCCACGGAAGAAATAGAAGAAGTAGTTGATTAAAGATTTGAAGAACAATACTCCTTAATGCATTCCAACAATAAGAAAGAGATGGCGCAAACATGGCATCCATGGGACTGCTGACCAAAAAAAACACTGATGGCTTGTCTCACAGATGCCCAAAAAATATCTTGATGGTCCCGAAGACTTTTGGGGAAACATTTGTTGGACTGATGAGACCAAAGTGGGAAGATATGCATTCTGTTACATCTGGTGTAAAACTAACACAACATTACATAAAAACACACATCTTAAGTGGTGGGATGGTCTGGGTCTGCACCACTTGGGTTCTGCAGCAGGCCAATGATCCAAAACCACCCAGCAGGTCCACCTCTAATGGCTCAGAAGTAGATAGATGCCTTTGGAGTGGCCTAGCCAAAGTCTGGACTTAAATCTGATGAGTCAGTTGAATCGTTAGTGGCCACCATTACAGTTTAACTACTTTTATAACCCCTTTACAGACACGCCACTAGCTTGAGAAGAGTTATATACTTTATTACTATTATTATACTTCCACTTCTTGCAAGTCCTGATTAAGATGTAATGAAAACACGTTCTTTAAGTATAAATTAAACTTCAAGGAGGCTTTTTTCCCCACATTGTCACACACTAAGAAAAAACAACCGACCATTAACATATTATTTTATTTCTGGAAATACACAACAATATGCCAGTAGTGCTGTCTGTCTTCATCTGTGTGTCCAGAGTTTTAGGATGGACTGCTCACTTACTGCTCACTCACTACTCACTCTGATTGCCGTGAGCGCTTCACAATAAAAAGTACAAGAAAAGTCCCAGAAGGTTTTGAACTCATAAGGTTGTTGTTTTGTCTCTCATAGTGTGAATGCAGCTCAACTGTTATCTAATGAATGCTGTTTAATCCTGCTAACAGTATGCAACACTTCATATTGGGTCAAATGAAGAAGGCTTCAGATATCTGTGCTTCGTCCTTTTGAAGCATATTTGACCTGCCCTTGTTTCTTCTTTTTCTCACCCTCCTCTGACCCCTCAGCTCCCCCCACGTTCACCGATACGCCAGCTCAGTATGTAGAAGCCAAGGAGGGGGGCAGCATCACTTTGACCTGCACGGCCTTCGGTAACCCCAGACCCTCGGTCAGCTGGCTGCGGGAAGGCAGCCTCATGATCAGCAGTGCCAAGTATAAGGTATGCAACTACTGTCCTTAGGTTCCTGATTACGGATTGTCTTCCTCCTCTAAGGTAATGTGTAGACTGAATATGGAGCTTCATGTAAATAGACAGCCTCCTCATTAATTTGAATGAGACCACTGCATGGGCTAAAAGACAGGAGGATACATTTGTTTTCATTAGCTCTTTAATTTTGTTTAAACTTCTACGACTTTCTACGTCCCTTCCTTCCGGCAGTGGTGAATGCTCCCTTGAGATGTTACAAGGCAGTGGCAGTCCATAAGGCATCCCAACTAGGGGTGTTAAAAGCAGTCTTCCATTCATACCCCTCCCCAGATAATAGGCATTTCTTAAGATGAGCTTAGTAATAATCTTAGCTCTGTAACAGATCAAATGCCGATGAAATAAGAGGGAGTTATACTTATTCATGAAGCGGTTGCTGTTCAAACGCCTGCTATCAATAGGTAGGTGAAGGGTCTTGTTCTTCTTGCTGATAAACCCACCCTGTACCTGCTGGCGACGATTTTGGTCTGATCAGACCCTTGCACTATGGTTCTGATGACGATGGAAAACTCAGCTTGGCTACAGGATGCGTGAAGCAACTTCTTTACCTCTAACTGGGTGATCAAAAAACCCTTAGCATTGCATCAGAAAAACACTGGTAGGAGGACGTGTGGCTTCTAGGAGTCAAAAGTGGGTAAGGGGCCTAGAAGGGGCGGCTGTAAGGAGGCCTGAAGGAGCTGCTGTCCAAGCTGGTTCACCTCCACAGAAAGGAATGGGAGGGACCCCATTATGTCCTGGACAAGTTGGTCGTGGTGGCCCATGAGAGCACCTTGCGAGGCGAGGCTGTGATTTTATTTTGTATGACAAAAAGACTTCTCAATTGTTTAGAATTCATATGATTTATCAGGAATCAGGAAACATTTATTAGCCAAAATATGTCAAACATACAAGGAATTTGTCTTGGCGGTTAGTGTGCGACAGTAGACAGACAAGACAGCTATGGGTTAGTATAAAACAAGGGAATAAAGTTTAAAAAATGTAAATATTAAAAAGAAAAATATTAAGCATAAAGTGCACTAACGAACAAGTAACAGACAAGAGACAAAGTGACGAGTGACGACAAAGTGATGAATTGCAGTTAAAGTGGCATGTGCAGTATGAAGGGGAGTGACCGGTGGAGTGTTATAGTCAGGCAGGGGGGGACCGGGCTCTGTTGATGAGCCCGACTGCCGACGGAAAGAAACTGTTCGTGTGGCGGGAGGTCTTAGACCTGATAGACCTCAGCCTCCTGCCAGATGGAAGGGGCACAAACAGTTTTTGTCCGGGGTGGGAGGGGTCGGCCGAGATCTTTTTGGCTCGCTTCAGAGACCTGGAAGCGAACAAGTCCTGCAGGGACGGCAGATTGCAGCCAATCACCCTCTCTGCAGAGCAGATGACACGCTGCAGCCTGCCCTTGTCCTTGGCTGTGGCTGCAGCGTACCAGACGGTGATGGAGGAGCAGAGGATGGACTCGATGATGGCCGTGTAGAAGTGGACCATCATCGTCTTTGGCAGGTTGAATTTCTTCAGCTGCCTCAGGAAGAACAACCTTTGCTGAGCCTTCTTGGTGATGAGCTTCTGAGCTGATGTTCAGCTCCCACCTGAGGTCCTGGATGATGATGGAGCCCAGGAAACGGAAGGAATCCACAATAGTGACGGGGGAGTCACACAGGGTGATGGGGGAAGGTGGGGCTCTGTTCCGCCGGAAATCCACAACCATCTCCACTCTCTTTAGAGCGTTGAGCTCCAGGTTGTTCTGGCTGCACCACAACACCAGATGGTCAGACTCCCACCTGTAGGCGATGTAGTCCAGATGCTGGAGGATGTAGTGGAGGGCCATGTTGACAGCATCGTCCACAGACCTGTTGGCTCTGTAGGCGAACTGCAGGGGGTCCAGGAGGGGGTCGGTGAGGGACTTCAGGTGGGTCAGGACTAGCCGTTCAAAAGACTTCATGACTACAGAGGTCAGGGCGACGGGCCTGTAGTCATTGAGTCCTGTGATCCTGGGCTTCTTGGTGACAGGGATGATGGTGGAGGCCTTGAAGCAGGCTGGTACGTGGCATGTCTCCAGGGAGGTGTTGAAGATGTCAGTGAACACCGGAGACAGCTGGTCAGCACAATGCTTCAGGGAGTGAGGGGAGACTGAGTCCGGACCGGCTGCCTTATGGGGATTTAGTCTTCTAAAGAGCCGGTTGACGTCTCTCTCTAGAATAGAGAGGGTCGTTGCTGGTGGGGGAGGGGAAGGTGATATAGTTGAAGAGGCATGAGCACCTGATGGGCTGGGGAAGGGATGGGAGGGGGACTGCATTAGGTTGGTGGAGCTGTGGGGGATGGGATCAGGACATTGTCTTTCAAATCTGCAGTAGAACTCATTCAGCTCGTCTGCCAGGCGGAGGTCATTCATGGAGTGGGGGTTTTTTGGCTTGTAGTTGGTGAGGTGTTTGAGGCCTCTCCAGACCGAAGCAGAGTCACTTGCTGAGAACTGTTGTTGGAGTTTCTAAGAGTACAGTCGTTTAGCATCTCTCACCGCCTTGCTAAACTTGTATTTTGCCTCTGTATATCCCTTTACACAGTACAACAGCTTCTGATAATGAAAAACTGGTGCTAACAATTAGGAAAAGGCACAAAGTTGTCTCAGGTATAGAACAAAATTCTGAAATGGAAAAATGGAATGACCCATATGTGGATCGCAAACATTTCGATCAGGACGTTTGTCAAGCAACTGCTCAGTGAATGAATTAGCATCGCAATCAAGGTTTTTATATTCAGTTTTGTTTGAATTTTAGAACTTGTGTTTAATGAGAAGAAAAAAGCTTCTCTGTAAAAGCCGTGTAGTATCTGGCATTTAGTGCTGTGTGTAAGAATGGGAATCACTGCCCCACATGAGTACAATAAGGTAAGCTTTGTTTATAGCAAAGTCATGTGTCAGTCGCAGGCAGCAGCTTTCCATAGGTCGCTCTATAATATTATTCCGTAGACTTGCAATGCTTAAGGGGGACGTCTTGTAAGTCTGTCTTCTTGGCCGACTAAGTCACTTTCCAACTAAATCAGCAATTATTCATTTTGTGATACAGCCAGAAGAAACAGGTTTGGTTTGGATTATTTCACATATTTCTATAAAATGCTGATCTGATGCATTTCTTCACCTCTATTTTAACTGAAGTACTTTGGATCATCTCTGTGTCTGAAAGACGTTTAAAGTTACTGTATGCTTTAACCTTTTCTCTACTCTCCCACATAGTTCCATTCATGTATCATCATGTTCATATATATTGTAAAAGGATCTTTATTATTTTGCTTTTTTGCTTCATTTTTTGTGAATTTATTTGGACTTAAACCATAACACACGTATTTGTGTGTTTGTAGTGAGTGACTCGCTAGATAAATGTACATGATTTATTTGGAAGACCAGTTGAAGGCCTTTTGTTAGACATAGTACACCTAAACATTAGTTCAATTTGTGTGTGTGTGTTTAGGTGACTGATGGGAGTCTGACGGTGCTGTCCATCACCAGGGAGGACCGTGGGGCCTACACGTGTCGGGCCTTCAGCCCCCAGGGAGAGGTCATTCACACCACACGGCTGCTGGTACAAGGTACGCACATGTGTCCATGTTGGTATTCTTACATGTTCTCAAGGCACACACGTCTTTGGAAAAAAAACCTTTCTCTTGGGGAAGATACAATGGCAGCGGTTTAACTTCAAAATGAAAAACCATACTGTGTTAGAAAACCAAGCATCATCATGTAAACATCACGCCACTGGACCTGCGCTGTCCTCCCGTAAAATGCACAACTAGATCCGTGGACTCAACAGTCACTGACTGCTTGAGATCTTGTTTCATCCATTCTACTTCCCTGTGACCGGACATCAGACAGCCGGGAGCCGGCTGGGTGGTGGAGCACCTGAGTTAGCTTAGCTTCCATCTTGGCTTACTGCGGCAGTTCAGTAGCATTTAGACAGAAGGATTCTGCACCTGCTCCGATATTGAGTCTATCAAAGGCCATGGTTGCTCCAGCAATAAACACGGAATAAATCCTCAATCAGACAAAGAAAGTCAATCAGTCAAATTTCCAGCCAAGCCGGTATCACTAGCTGTTGCTCTTCGGCAGGTGGCAGAATACATTTTCACATCGAGGAGTGTGAAGCGGTCGGACTTCTTCTTCGGTCTACTTGTCTTACGCATATTGAGATTGATTCATGGTTATGACTTTATAACAACAATTAATAACCCACAACAAAATATCTTTAACAGGGTAAAACACAACACCAGCTTGTGACACATAAAGAATTTTCAAAACTAATTATACATTTATAAAATTACCCCGCTGAACTGCATGCTGGGTACAGCTCGCCCGCTATCACAACAACGCAGAAAAGAGCGATGCAGGAGCAACAACTAGAGACCAGAGATGCACACACAACACAACTTGTGCTCAAGAGAGAAGCTGTGTGCTGTTTGGAGGGTTTTTGGTTTTTAAAAATCCAACGCAAGTTAACGTTACATCAGAAAAAGAGTTGTTTGAGCCGCTGGTATTGCCACTGGCGGCAACACTACCAGCCACCACTGCTAACACGCTAGCAAGCTAACTCGCCGGTTAGTTGTGAGCGCATTGGCCAGCGGCTGGTGAACAACGAGCAGTGAACAGCTGTTCAGGTGGCCGTTGATACTTTTCTGGTTCAATAAATTAATGTGTTTGTTTGACAAAAAACAGCTGTTCGCCACTCTTTTGCAACCGCTCGCTGGTCAGTTGGCGAGCGAGCGACTAATAGCAAAAAACAGCGGTGAATGAATGAATGTGTTTACTCAAAACACCCTGATATAGCGGGATACTGTCAGAATTTTACAAAATACCGTGATATAAATTATTGTCCATACCGCCCAGCCCTAGATGCAGTAGTACTTTTAGGTGTGAGACATACATTTAAGCCGTTTGTAACCCTCCATACTTCACCACAGAATCCAGACACATTGAGCAGATAAAGCATTGTCTGCAATGGGCAACATCTTGCACACATTGGTGATCAACGTAATCCTTTTTTTTACCTGACATGTAAAAGTAAACACAGTATTAAATGTGTGTCTGTGAGGCAACCTTTGATTTGCCTCAAACATGCTGTTCCAGGTCATCTCATTTAGAGATTGCTGCCCCAGATCCACACAGCTGAGAGGTCATGACGTCATATCAACTGAGGGGGAATTGCTGGATTTCATTGATTCAACATTTCCCCTGTTAATTCCGAAGATTATTATTATGAAAATTAAACAAAGTAACAAAAAACATGCTCTTTTCATAACAACAGTGCCAGTTAGAGACCAGAGAAAGGACTAAGCAAGGCGGGACTTTGAGACCTTTAAGGTGGCTGTCGGCCATATGATGCGCTGCCAAACCAGAGAATTATGCTGAATGACTTCTACTTGTAGTTCTTTCACTGTGCTGTTTGACCTTCACTGTGCAGAAAGAAGAGCAGAGTTTGTTTCTCATCCGTTACTAAGAAAAATAATTATATTGACACATCCTACATACTGTATATCAGTGGTATACTGATACTGTAACACAGCCACAAAGGTAAAAAACAAAAATAAAAATAAAAAACAGAAACTAGATGAGGACTTGACATGAGCTGTGTTGGAACCACGTCCTCCACACGGCTCAGGTTACAAGCGGACAAGCGCAGAAAAGAGAAAGAGGAAGAGCAGAAAAAGACACGATACAAACAAAAAATAAGACATTAGAAAGAAAAACATTTTTTAAGGATAAATTATAATTCAATTATTTCAAAACAAAGAAAGAGATATTTTACTTTGTTGGGGAGTTTTAGGGTTGCTTACACTATGCATACATAGAGAGGAATATAGAAGGTCATAACCATTGCAAGTATGTGAATCTCTAAAAAAGGACAATACAATGCTGTTTATTAGCCCCGCTTAAATGTTCAAGGTTCATTTATTGTCATTATACAACTGTAAACCAAAATGCATGTTAACTTTAAGCTACAATAAGCAACAACAAACTATTAGTAGTATAGCGGATGACTTAAGGAGAGATGCAGTCTAAGAAAACAAGCTGCTCTTTGGTCAAGATTTGCATGTGTGAATGAAGAAGTATCTGTGTCTTTGCATGTCAGCCGTCGGTCGCTCTCATTCGTCAGGGAACAGACGGCAAACAAGTTAACAGAGGTCGCCTATTTGCTTTTGCCACTGAGCATCAAAAGCACTGCAGAGCTAGAGCACTTGTTTGACCCCGTCCTGTATAATTTACGGGGGAGACGGATTAATAGAGGTCCTCCTGGAAAGCCACTGAGCAGCAGATCAGCTAAGAGACTACAGTGCCAACAAATCTCCAGCACTCAGCTGGTTCCAAATAGGGCGGTTTGGCACAGACACACACACATACACACATGCAAACGCACACGCTCAAACACCAATGACACAGTCATCCAACGCGGCTCTATTCCTGCTTGTCCTGCTGAGGGCCTGGCAGATGGAAATGCTGTGGCTGTTAAAGGATCAGGCCGTGGGCTACAGATCAGCATTAACATATGGGACTGGCAGTTTATAGTTGCAACACTGGCTAAACACAGCTGTATGTGTTTATCTGTGGTTGTGTGTGATGGGTTTTTCCTATTGTGGACAAGTTATTAACCAATTGGGGAATACAAGGATAACTGCTGGTGTGTGCGTGTGTGTGTACATCGGTCGCCAGGAGAAAGTGTTGAAAGGTTATTGTAAACCAGCCTCTCATGAACGCTGCCTCACAGCTGAGTGTTTATGTAAGCTGCTCGTATTTATGTCTGACAGCCGGTGTAATATTCATTGGCTTTGAGGGGTTTCCCCTGACAGGAACGCCAGAGAGAAACATGACGACAAGGTCCGGCTCTGTGTCTACTCTTCCTGAAGGTTGTTTGTATCGTGTCTTGGAACTATGTGAACATACAAAGCGAAGCACACTTTCTAAAATAACTTTTTAGAAATTTGCTATAGCAAATCATTTGTCATTACACATATTTAGTAATTATACAATAACATAAAACTTTTTTAAAACTGATATTCAGTAGGAATAATTGAATGTTGACCTTTGAAGCCACACTGTGCTGTAAAGTAAACGTTTGTTCTCATAACAGTTGAATTACATGAATTAAAAAGTCCAAAGATAATCAACCGGTTTTGTTTCTTGAAAGATACCCTATAGTAAGATAATAGATTGTATTATTTAGAGGAATCTTTTGGTTATTTTATAGAATGAAGTTGTTATAATTATTATCTAATAAATGGTAGAGTTGACAGGAAAAGCTAGACATACTAAGAAAGGTGTTTGAAATGAAGCTCTGGTTTGTTGTCAGTTGGGTTGAGTGTGATCAATATATATAGTATAGTTTTGGCTGAAATGATGCATTGACGAGACGTATTAAAGCGTCTAGTAAAACCATACCTGTAATTGATCCTTTTTGTACCCAGATCAAGAAAAACATTTTTTTTTTGTCTTTGCCACAGCCAATCGTGGCAAGCCTTGATTGACTTAATACAATATTTGATTGGGAACAGCAGCCACACAGTCCTGAGGTGGCGGAGTCGAGAGTGCAAATTTACAGAATTGGTGCCGTGGAACCTTGTTTAAAAGTATGGCTCTACTACACAGCTGTGGTGTCTGTTGGAATTTTACCCAACTAATGCTTCCACATGTTTCAAACATCTGTATACAAGGAGTGGACATAGTCATTGTGACGTCCCCCATTGGTTTGTGGAATGCTCTTCTATAGCCTGACAATTTCGCCATGTTGGTTACATCCAGCGTTTTTTGTTCACAGCTACTTACCATATTTAGAATGTGCTAGGGACCTAGAACAGTACACCCCCCAAAAATGTATCAAGGGAAGACCTCAACAGGTATCAGTTTAAGTGATTTTTCATTTTGAGTAGAACTAGAAAAACATTAGCAGTGTGGGGATCCGAGCCCCGGGAGCAAAAACACATAGAGGGCGAAAAAGGAAAGAGAGGGTATGAAGTTTTGGACCAATGAAGTTGTGAGGGGTGCGGCCTAATAGATAAAGACAAACTTCAAAAGTACCTGGCTTCTATTCACCAAATCTTCAGCATATGTTCTCATTGAGTCCCCGAACAACCCTTTTTTCAGAATATTTATACACTAGGGAGCGCTTCAGTTAATTGCTGAATATTTGCACTTTTCGGCAAGGTACATTCCTAACTCTGGCCAAATGTTCTTTTTCAGGATGCTAGTGTCTCAAAGTGTTACCGTGAACTGATTTTCAAAAAAATATAGCGCCACCTATGGGCAAAGGGAAATAAAACGTTTTACACTGACATGTAAAGAGGCTCAAACTCTGAATGATTTGACAATGGGACAGAACTGCACCCTTACGTGTTACAAATTAGCGGGAGCAGGTACCTTTTACGTACATCGGTACACTGTGCAACAGTTGTTGAGACTCTACTCAGCAACCTGAGATAGGAACGGAAAAAACAATATTATATTATACAGGTAATATCAATATAACCAATCATAACAACAGCAGTGGTCCTCAAGCACCATGGCAACGAGAGCAACCACGATCCAGGTGCAATCATGGCCCATGGCAACCTGCTAGACAACAGGTTCACCAAAATCATTATAATGTTCACCTATGGCTAGAACAACTTCTGCTAACAACATCGGCTTCTTATTGGCATTGACTGCAGGCAACTTTTGGAAATAATTACAAAACAAATTCCACAGTGTCTCACCCTGTGGCATTAGTTGAGATGTCCATCTTTCTCTGCAGTGTGAATGGAGACTATGAGTTACTATGTGTGGTTTAATATGCTTCAAAACTGTATTTAAAAATAGATAGCTGATATAACAATGCTAAACAAATCCACATATGGTCATCACGGCATGGCAACATATGCAGCACTTCCGGATTGTGTCAAATTCTCTTACTCAAACAGCTGCTAATGTCAGGCCCTGTTCAGAGGATTATCCTCCCTCATACCCAGTCCTACACCTTCTGTATGATTATCTGTTACTGTAAATGTAATGTTCTCCTTGCACCCTCGCATCCCATTTCAAGAGATGGGGCGCTCTGTTAGTACTATCAAACTGCATCAAGGCAATCCCTCTTTTATTTTTCTGTCCTAGCACGCTGCTCCGATGTCGTTGGCAGCGTACCGGTTGTCATATTTTCTGTTTACCAGTGGACTGACAAACACGTAGCCAAAAAAGTAATTCCTCTGGTGTATCTGGCAGCGCTTATAAATAAGCCTCACAAACAAGCAAGATAATTTGTGGATAAGAATATGTCCATGCGAAAGCCAAATAAAATAAAAAAACACTCTGAACATTCAGCTGTCTTTGAATGTCAGTATTTCTTTACCTTCTTTAACTTCTATTCTGTTCTTTTTACTGACTTAACGTTAAGGTGCTCTTGTAGCAGCAAGGTTCAGACCCTTGAAACCCCACAGCACCACAGCCGTTTCATCAATCTTTTCATCGCCAATTGTCTCCTCAGCCTGTGGATTTAGGCCTTGGTGGCCCTACTCTTTTGGACTCTTGCAAATAATCTTTTGAGCGTGGGCTCCCATGTGTCTTTGTCCTTTTTCAGGTACTACTCATCCAGGCCAATTGAAGTGATCTTTTACTTGATACTTGCTCCAGCTGAGTCTACCAGTCCTTCTCCCCACCCATTTCTTAGCTTTACCTGCACATATGCAAATTCTGCATCATGACTTTTTAAGCACATGCCACTTTTCCTGTTGCCTAGAAATTTGCATTCAATTGTGATCTTTCACACAAAACGTCTCAGTGTGCCTTAGCGGTACTGATGTGTCGTGTTACCTATTTTGGGTGGCAATGCCATACTCGCTCACACTCTAAAGCGAGGCTCTTAAATAAATCCAACAACCAAAGTGTGTTGTAAGAAGCTGAAAGTAGTCAAAGTAGAATAGGTTGACCAAACTAAGCACACTTATGGATGCATTATGTTAGGCGATTATTGGAAATTCAATGTCAGAGGGTAAATATATACAGTAACATTCAAAAGTTTGGAACCCTTCTTATTCAATTCAATGAGAAAGTGTGCCCAAACCTTTGACTGATACTGTATGCATGCGTACAAGGAAGAGTATCCATCTGGCACAAGTGAGGATCACTTAATACATTTCTCATAATCCTTTCCTAAGTGCAGGATGAGTATGTGATATGGCTCAGGGGTCCGCCACAGAGGAGATGCACCGGTGTTATTCCCATGGGTGTCTTCACAGCATGTGCAAATGGCCATAAATACCCCACTACAGTCCTCGCCAGCTGTTAACAAATGACAGTGTTGTGTCTGCAGTGGGTGGTACGTGGCAGAATAGGAGGTTCTCACTGAGGGAAGTTGTATCAGTGTCACGTCCTAGTGGATGCTGTGCTGTGCCGTGTTCCCTCTATGGACGCTGCAGTTAGTTTCTTGTGGCTTATGTTTCATGTTTTAACATAGCTCTGGTTGAAGAACAAATGGTGCACTTGTTTTGTTGTACACTGAGAATTTTACATTTTAAATTGAAGTATAACTCAGGTCTGAATTTTGAAATTAGTAGTTTGAATTTTGACTAAAAGGTGTAAAAGATGTTGCCTTACATTACAAGTCTGTATGTGTGTCCTTTGCATATCTGAAGAACTGATCATCTTCTTCACATTGGCACGGGCTGGGGTTCCAACTACGTGCAGCGGTGATGTTGGTGCCATTTGGACTCGCAACATGTTCACAAATACGTTTTTGACAAACAAGCAAGTTGTCAAGAAAGCAGTTCGCAATAGCACTATTATCAAGCCTTCTTATTGAAGGGAGACTGAATCAGGTGTATAGTGTTTATTTTCATCTGAAATATAGTTTTTCTCAATATTGTCGGCCATATTTTTTGTTTTGTATATGTGAAACAAAATCTGGACTGGATATAAGAATATAAGAATGGACGTCATCCATTGGTTTTGGGACTGCCATCAAGAAAGAATTAGTGGGATTTTCTCCTGGACTTCTATACAACCAGACTTCTTTTTGCAATTGATTGTATCTCAATTTCCTTTGGCAAGAAATCTACTGTACTTAGATTTATCAAGACAACCTCTGTGTTTCTTTTCTCCTCCAGGCCCTCCATTCATTATATCACCACCTGAGAACATCACAGTGAACATCTCGCAAGATGCCTTCTTCACCTGCCAGGCGGAGGCCTATCCTCGCAACCTGACCTACACCTGGTTCTGGGAGGAGGACAACGTCTTCTTCAAGAAGTAAAGTTATGATCGGTTTCCTTGTTGACTCCCACATCACTCACAATCTGTCCCTACTGTTCACCCCCGTCATTCCTGTCCCGGGTTATGATGGGGCTTTTGTGCTGGATATTCACTGTAGGTTAAGGATCTACTTTTCATTTAGTTTTTAAAAAATCAAGCAAAGTGATAGCAGTTATTTAGCTTGAGAAAACTTTTAATCATTGTGAATAACTTTCACATTTGACCTCTCACAAGTACAGAATTAATCTGTAAAGTAATTTCCCCCTCATGTTGCAGTACAATGGTTGAATGTAAGGACATTTACTGAATCAGAGTAGTGAAGAGCAATGCTACGTTTTACTTCTAGTAAATTAAGTAAATTATTTTTGTAATAAAAAGAAAGAAGAAAATGTACCAATTATCTTGTTCTCTTGAAATGTCCGTCAGTTGGCACATCTCCCTCCGTTGTCACTTTACTGGTGTAAGCGATTTGAAGCGGTTCAGTCAGATGTACAATGCAGGGCGACGCATTTTCTTGCACTTTTGTGATCACATCCCTGTGGCTGTAAAGCTCTGGTTTCATAATAATGATATTCTGCGAGCAGCTTGTGTCATGGTTCTCAGCAAGATGGTTGCTTTCAGAGGAACTGTAATTCTATTGTGTACAAAGGTACACACTGTGAATGCATTCCCCTTGTTTGTTATTTATTGTTCAATATCCCAAACTCTTAAGAATAACTATATTCACAGTTGTGAGCCTGAAGGATTTATTGAAACCAATACTTTGCGGGTTGCACATATTTCCAACTTTAAAAGTCCCTCTAATCCGCAGCTCGAAGGCTTTGTGTTGGAACTCAAAAAGGGGATCACTGAAATTGTGGTTCATGGTTGACTCATCCAAAAAGCCATTTTTCAAGATGCTTGAATATTGTGGGGTGTTTGTGTGAACTAAACTAAAGTCACACTAGTTTTCTGAAACTACTGAGTACTAGAGTAAAATGATTCATTTATACATACTTAGGAGGTGCCAGCGGTTTGGTTTGAGACCAACAACAAGTCTAGGATAAAGTAGCATTTTCAAGTAAAACTTATTATCATAACAGTAACTCCAGAAACTACCTCATTTTGCATTTTTACCCATCCAACTCCAAAAAGAAACTGGATCAAACAGAAATGCATCATTTCAGCTGGTGTTTCTTAAATGAAGGTGACGGTTTGGTGACAAGCCACTTGCAGTAGCCAAGGCAACAGATATTTGGCATTCAGTTGCTTTGCTCCCTTCTCTCACTTATTCTAAATTAGACTGGAAGAGTACAAAATTGGTCACGATTGCAACTTTTCAAAGGCCTGCATATTACAAATAACATTTCAGAGAGAAAGAAGCATGAGGGAAAATCCGGTACTTCTTGGCAAAGGCAGTCAATTATCATATCAAGTCAGTCTTCAGTCATTAAAAATGATACTGCCATGAGAAGCAGCCTGCACCAATGCCCTGTGTGGGTCACTGTGGCAGGGGTTGTTCAAATAGACGATCAGATTAAAGGTTTGAATGCCTTTGTCCCATTTTATGATGGAAAATGTGATTTTGTGTTCTACTGGCTATATAAGTGTGACTTATGGAGTGAATGAAGGGCTAAATGACCAACAAATATGAATTGAAGCAGAATATTCTATTGAATAAAAATATGCTGGGAATTTTGGAAACAATGAAGCTGGACTATTGCACGGTCGCTTTCTGATATCATTCAGAAATGAAACTTCAAGCTTCAAACTATTTGGGACTGAATTAGGTGGTAATATTAAAGGTAAGGTTGTTGTTCAGAGGACACATAGCTTTTAAATACAAAGGTATTTTGAATAAAATGTTCACACGCTTTTATAAATGGTGACCACGCTATTTTAAATGCATGGCTCGTAAAATAGTTCTCTCACAACAGCATATTGAACTAATTCACCAGATGAGCCGTTACAATTAATTACTCAGCATCGGCTGTGCAGTGTCAGTGTCTGTTACCTGGATTTTTATTCTTCACATGATGTAAAATAAATGCAATTCAGATCCAAACTTAAATGTCTGTATGTTTGTGATTTTCACAGTGACCTAAAGCGCAGAGTCAGTATTCTCATCGACGGCTCCCTCATCATTGCCCAAGTCAAGCCGGAGGATGCTGGGAAATACACCTGTGCTCCAAGCAACAGCCTGGGCCAACCACCGACTGCCTCTGCCTACATAACAGTGCAATGTGAGTGTCTTTTACTCTGCTTCTGCTGCATGTGCTAAACGCTGATTGTGTCCTTATTGGTAGCAACGGTCCGTCCGTCTTCTCTTTGTCCTTTCTCTGAATTTGGGTCAAAGCCACAGTACTATTAATACCCAAATAAAAAACGCTAATCATGCTGGAGGGTCACTGGAAAGGAGCATGGCCCAACATGTCCACCGCAAGTTGACGGATAACTTCAAGCCCCTTAAAACTTGAGTGAAATTTTCAACATTGAATGTAGAAAAAAATCGATTTTAACAAGTACTCTAAATTATGTATTGTCCTTAAAAGAAAGAATCAATTTTACAATCTCATTTTATTTTGAGAAACCTTGACCTTAGTTATAAATGATTAAACAAAGTTTAAAACTTCTAAGTATTATTTCATGTCAGGCTTCACAGGGGGGGAAAAAAGACAATGGAAAAGTGATCCACAATGAAAATGACTTGTGGATGAGCATTTCACATCGTGCTTCATCAGACTCCTAAACACTCTGTAAACAGCCACTGACTCAAATAAGATGTCAAAGTCAATATTCCTGAATACATAATTGCACACAGTAAAATGGAAGGCACACGGAAATGTGTATTCAGTAAAACCCGTTGGGCAGAACATAAACTAAACACTATGTTGATGATTTCTATTCTCAACCGTTTTATCATTACAATTAATAATAACAACAGCCCTGCTCATTCTTTTTTAGATGTTTTATTGCATGTATGGGTTTTAAACAATAGTTTATGGAGTCTTTCTGTACGATTGCTTTTATTCAATATGTATTTCAGTTCGCGTTAAAAACACATTAAGACACATGATGCATTGAGTTCAACATTAAAAGATAGATGTGAGTTCAGTGCTCCTGAAAAGTTAATCCACGTCTGTGTGTCAGCGGCACTCACACGCCGTTTTATTTTTGATGGATTAATAAACTTTACCCTGCCCCCTACTGTGGAGAATAAACATATGCCAAAAACACAAGCTTCCTTTGATCCCTAAAGGGAGAGTGGCTTATAGTGTGTGTGTGTGTGTGTGTATATATATATATATATATATATATATATATATATATATATATATATATATACACATTTGATAATAATGGAAATAAAAAAAAAATGTTGAAAATGTATGGGACAAGTTCCAACGCTCCAAAAATGTACCCCAAAAAACACCAAACTTTACAAATTGATATGCCGGTGATGCCCGATGAAATGATTTAAACAATGTTTAAATCATGACTTCTTTGACACATTTTAACTTTCAAGTTCAAAAATCAAACGCTTATCAAAGCCAGGCGTGACCAGAGTGAATCTATTTGTCTTCTGTGTTGTTCTTTTTCACAGAAGAAATACTCTAACCCCTCTAGTTGTGGTCTGTCCATTAGACACTATTGCATTACTCAAACCTGGATCTTAAGTCAATCAAGCGATTCTCGTGTGACCTCGTGAAATCACGAAAATTGGCAATAAGTGAATTTTTGATCTAAAGAGCTCTTAAATACAGACCAGGCTCCCATTAGGAACCATCGGCGGTATACGTATCTCCTTCTCCAGCAGAACTCTGCTCATACTTGTAAAACCTCTTCCTCCACATCAGCCCCCGTCTAATTCGTCTTCAGGGAGTTTCCCATGTTGAGGTGGAAGCCCCAATACATTTGAAATGTTCAGATTCAGCGTTATTGGCTACCGTAGACTTCAATAATTATCCAGCACATTATCCCTCTCTAGCTAACAGGTTATTAATGCTAGCTGTGTCAAGAATACACCTCAAGAGTATGATGTTTGACGACTATTGTCAGACCCAGTTTCAGCCAAAGGCTTGTCAATAAATGGAGGTTTCTCGCAAGCTGCTGGCGTGTCCAATACGACACTGCTGTCGGGCTGCATGTCCTACCTCCTCTTCACTGTGGAATGGATGTGGACACTCCAACCAGTCTCCAGGCCAACTCTGCTCCACCTCTCCGCCAACAAACACCCATTTGCTCTCTCAAATCCACTCTTCTCTTTTATCATGTTTGCTATCTGCCTCTCCCTCCTACTCCCTCTCCCTCTCCTCTGCCTCTTACTATCCGCCTTTGGCGTCTGTCTGTATGTGCACATTTATATATATATATATATATATATATATATATATATATATATATATATATATATATATATATATATATATATATATATATATATATATATATATATATATATATATATATATACATATTCACATGCACATCTCTATATCTCTCCCCCCTCTCCCTCTGCCTTCATCATGGTTAGCCGCCTCCATGTTCACCCCGCCCGTAAAATACCCTCCCAGTCCCACAGTCACTGTGAGCTCCATAATTGTGGGGAATTTGTCCCTTTGGAAAAGCATCTGGCTCCTGCCAGGAGGCAGGCAGGTGGAGGCAGGACGAGCGTTGACATTTTTAGGCCCCGACGACCAGTCACCGGCCACCGGCCACCGGCAGTAGTCAAGGCAACAGACATTTTGCATTCCTTCGCTCCTGCCTCTTTTGATGGCTGTATATTAGACCGAGGAGTGTGTGTGTGTGTGTGTGTGTGTGTGTGTGTGTGTGTGTGTGTGTGTGTGTGTGTGTGTGTGTGACAAACAGAGGCGGGTAACACTGGTCGTGAGAGGGAGGGGGAAGTGAGAAGGGGGATTACATCATTGCTATAAGACCAGGGACTTTTCTCCCTGCAGACTGCAGACTGCTCTTCATCCTATTCTCTCCCTACCCTATTTTGTTATGCATTTTCTCTTCTCTCCCTGCTTCATTTCTGTCGAGGTCTCTCTCTCTCTCTCCCACAGTCTCCATCTTTCTGAAACGCTTGCCGGTGAATAACTTCCCTCAAAGCATCTTGCAGTATAGGGAAAGTGGCGTATCGTGACCCGTAGCGCCGGCTGAGGGCTATATTTAGAAACTTGGCGGATATTCTTGTCTGTGGTGCCGGCGGTGTCTTTGTTGCAGAGCGCCGGCGTGGGGGCCGTTATGGTTAAAGGCAGCTGTGGAACAAAGTTGTTCTGCGGTCAACTGATCCACCGCCGTGTTTCACTCCCTCCATCCCTCCTCATCAAGGCATACTGTCATTTGCTTGCTCTCTCATCGCCTCTCATCCTTGTAATGCTGGATGAACCGCTTGTTTTCACAGCAGCTTCATCGCTCTAAACTCATCTTCCTCTCTCCTCCAGTGGATCCTCTCCACCTTACGTCATCTAGTCACATCCCTCCCTCCCTCTCTCTTTCTCTCTCTCTCACACCTGTCCTCTTTCCCACGATGCTACTCAGCCTCACTCACACGCCCCTCATATCGCTCACTCCTCCTCCTCCTCCTCCTCCTCTTCCTTCTCCTGCTCCTCCTCACTCACATCAATTCTGCTCCTCATCACTCGCTGCGTACTTTGAAGCTCTCCTCCTTGACCTCATTCAGCCAAGCTGTTCTCTCCCCTCTTCTGAATTTAGGATTTAGAAATGAGAAGCTTTAACAGCCCCCCCTCCCTGGTCATTTTCCTCCTGTTAGCCCCTTTCCTCCGCCAGATGGACTCTTTCTTGTGTGTGCCCCGTTTCGCCCAAAGGGTATTTGGCTCAACCATATCAGATCCCAATTATTTAAGACTCAAAGTACAGAGGGGGAAACTTGAAAGGACGGCCACTAATGTCGAGCAAATAAAGAAATTAATTCATTACAATTGCTTAAACGCTCATCTAATAGGACTGATTGAGAAGAGGCTGGTCAGGTGTTTTGGTTAGATTGGTTGGATAGTAGTTAATAGTGAATAGCACAACAGGAGAAACACAGATATTATTCCTATCAGATGACATAATTGTTGAAGTTGGGAGAGTCGCGGCACATCGTCAGATCTCTTCAGTATGAGAACATTGCATTGAATTAAACCAGTAAATCTCATATTTAATTGAAGCCTTTGTGTTACATCGGTCCTACTTTACAACCTACCCAGTCACATGGTTTTTAGAATTTGAGTTGAAAGTTTTATCACAACCTTTCGATTGAAGCGCTGTAGTTCTCCATTTTCTACTCCACCCTTTGCCAATTGTCATCCGGTTACTTAGAGGCAGGTTATCTTCTTCAAAAACATTTTTTATATTTTTGTTGAAATTGTCCAGATCCTGCCCGTGTGGTAAACATGCCATCCGTCATCTACGTCGCCATTGGTCTGCCTGGCTTTATCCGCTGTCCCATAGATGCCAACCCCCCTGTAACTCTGGTTAAGTGGAAGAAAGATGGCCTCCCTCTCCGGATTGATAAGGTGAGCCAGTGCCGCATGGTGTTCCGCTCACTTGAGCGCGCCTCAAACACGTGCGGCATTTCCTTATTCAAAGCTCCAAGGGAGCAACAGGGGATTCCATTTCACTTATTTGATTTCAGTGCTCCTCCGGCTCTTATTACTGACGGGTAAGTTAAAACATGAAGTTACCCGTCCATGACTTATGCATCCACAGTACCCTGGTTGGAGCCAAAGGGACGATGGGAGCATCCGTGTGGCAGAAGTGACGGAGGACTCTCTGGGCACCTACACCTGCATGCCTTACAATGCCCTGGGTTCCATGGGATGGTCCCCTCCTGCTCCCCTGGTGCTAAAGGTACGTCCACAGTCTTGTCGCCAGTGCATTTAGATGCATCACGAGACCGACGCCTTTGTTTTTTACTTACCTGCTTTGTCTGCTTCCACCCCCCGGGGCAGGACCCTCCCAAATTCTCAGTGGTTCCTGGTGGGGAGTACAGGCAGGAGGCTGGCAGAGAACTGGTCATCCCCTGTGAGGCGGAGGGAGACCCCTTTCCCAACATCACATGGAGGAAGGTGCGACTGCCTCCACACTCTACACCACACCTGCATGTGTGTTAACGACTTTGTGTTGTTTGAAGTCACATTATGTCATTGTTTTTTTTTTTATTCACATTTTAATGATGTGTATAAAATATGCAATCAAGAGAATATTAGATTAGATTAGATTCTCTCAATCGTTGGCTTGATTGTGAAGCATGTTGATTTGCTATTGTTTAGGCCTCCGCCCTTCTGTGAAATGTTGTAATCAAATGTGATATTTAAATCAATGTTATTGTTGCAAATGTAAAATTGTAGATTGATACCTCAAACTGTCCCTGCTGTATGTTTTAACAGTTTCTTGCTGTCTCTCCATCTCTCTCTCTCTCTCTCCCTTCCGTCTCGATGATTCTGTGTTTCTCCGGCTGGGTTGGACGGCAGGTAGGGAAGCCCAGCAAAAGCAAGCACAATGTTCTGCCCCGAGGCAGCCTGCAGTTCAAGTCACTCACAAAGGAGGACCACGGGGAGTGGGAGTGTGTCGCCACCAACGTTGCCACGAGCATCACTGCCAGCACGCACGTCCAAGTCATAGGTAACTCGACATGGAAAAGCCTGTGAAGAAAGCTAGCTGTATTACTTGTGCAATCATGGACTGTTCACTGTATTGAACTGGCTTCTGGTTTCCTGTTTCTTTGGCCCACTACAGGAATGAAAAATGTATATTGAGAATTGGGTTTAGATAAATTATTCAAAGCACTTATTCACACAGGTCAAAAGTAGAAAAAAAGTAATTTGAGGTTTTTGTAAATTAAATGATAAACCTAGTCCAGCTTACAGTAAATCCATTTGACATCTAAAATGAATGTAGTGTGTCACAGCGAGGCTCCGCAGTGACTAATGTGCCCTTTTCAAGCACCTCTCTAACCACCCTCCCTTCAGGCACAAGCCCCCACGCCCCCACCAACATCCACGTGGCGGTGTCCTCCACCTGGGCCAACGTGTCCTGGGAGGTGGGATACGACGGAGGCTTCCAGCAGACATTCTCAGTCTGGTATGGCCATGTGTGAGTCATCCCAGCATGCTTTGCTTCCTGCTTTTTCTTTGTCCGATACTTCCTCTGTTGTTTCTGAAAACGTCTTTTCCCAGGGTTGTGTTCAGAGCAGTTGAGAGAACGTAGTGATGAAAACACACGGGGGATCCAGACGTGTGAGTGACTTTCAGCTCTGATCTTGGAAGAACACATAAAATAGTTGCAACTAAACTGAACATGACCCAACATTCTCTGTCCTGCTGCTGCTGCTGCTTCGCTGCTGCTTCACTGGGAAAAATGGCCTGGGTCAAAATATTCATTTATTCAATGACTTCCAGCGATACCACTGCATTCAAGTAAAGCTCCCTTTAAAGCTCCTTGGAAGAAGGAGAGTGGACACAAACCTATTGGCGTTCAATCCATGAGACATTTCTTTTCTGCATTGTCAGTGGGAGCTGTAGGTTGATTTAGTACTAACATACTCCTCCACCACAGTGCTGACTCAGTGGAACGAATGCGGTTATTGACATTATTATTGGCGTATTTAATATACAGTATATTACAATTGTGATAGCAGAAACTGCTGCTAGTAATACGTGCTGAGGACTGTGTGAAAATGCTTTGTGTTATCTCAGTCATTATTTCACCGATAGGCCTGTGCAGTTCTGACAGGCTCACCAGATGAGATAATATTATTATCAGACTGCTTCATTGGGCTTCACTTGCTGTATGCAAGTCTCTTCCTTAAGCTTCCCAAACATCATGCAGGACACCAAAAAACAGTAAATAGTACCCCTTTATTTAAATTGGGACGTCCTGAACCAATCCACAGCCTCAACTATAAAGAGCCCAACTCCTGTCATGCTTTATTAAAACAGAGAGGGAACCGCAGAGCAGCACACATATAGAGAAAAGCAGATAGCAGCTTTAATTAATGATATTCATACTGACAGCAAACATCAGTGAATGATGCGAGCTGAGCAGCTTTTGGATGCATCCATCTCAGGGACATTTCTCAGGTTGTTCTTCTGAAACTGCCTTTGGTTTAAGTGCATTTAAACTTATGCGTGTTGAAAACCTTTCTGCCAAAAAAAACAAATGCACACTGACTCTGTTGAATATTACTATGTAAAACTCTGCAGTGGACTATTCCAAGTATTCCTTGACATTAAAACCTGCAACATTTAATACAAAAGCACTCAGCTGTCAAGCATATCTAAACTGGATTTGCATTACTAATTTTAATTAAGGCTCAGAGTGTGTTGTGCAGCTGTTTCAAAGAGGGACAAAAACCTCAATAACCCGTGGGTTATTTGTACCCGTAGGTAGACTTGGTCTGCAGTAGAAGGCAAAGCATCCATCTCGACACACATTACAATCCACACAGACTAAGACGAAAAAAAGTACCCAAGGCTGCAAATCCGGACTGTGTCTGGTCTTATTGTCCTGAAGCCGACTAACAATAACAAAGTCATCTGCATACTTCAATTTGCTCATTTTTTCATACCTGCTCTGACACATATTAGTGTAGTGGATGAATAATAGTGGTGAAAGCACACATCCTCGTGGGGGAGCCAGTGGAGGAGCAAAGGCGGGTATACTCTAATGAGCCTGAATGTGAAAGTGGAAGGGGAACCAAATCGGATTGTCTTATTTCACACAAGCACTGAAAAGTGTTACTCATGAAATGTCACCTTTAATTCATACATTAAATTCTAATATGCGTATTTCACAGCACTAAAGTAGCTATGTTGGTCAGAAAGACCGTCTCAGAAGGTGATAGCATGAAGGTTTGAGAGATCGGGTGTTGCATGTGTGGGGTGTTGTGCTTTATCTGTTGATCGGGTGCAGCTGAGTGTATGCATGAGCAAAACGCAAAGCTAAGCGCAGCATGGGCTATACTACCATCACGTGAAGGTCGCATTGTGAAAAATAGATGATGTTGCATTAATGACAGAACTTGACCTGTTTCAAAAGTGAAGGTACATAACAAGTTACATGACAAAATACTTACCCTGGTACACTTGTTTTTATCAGCATCATCAAGTCGACTTTTACCATCTGTATGAAAGTGATCGTGTTTCAAAATCTCTCCTGTCCCTCCGCTGACCTCCTGTGACCCCTGGCTCCTGTCCAGGCTGAAGAGGGAGCGTTTAGGTCCACACGACTGGCTTTCCATACCCGTGTCCGGAGGCCACGACTGGATGGTGGTGCCCAGCTTGGAGCCAGAGACAACATACCAGTTCAGCATCCTAGCCCAAAACAAGCTCGGCACAGGCCCTTTCAGCGAGGTTGTCACCGTCAACACACCAGGTCAGTGGTCTCCCTGCTGCCCGACTGAGACTAAAGGGCTCCTGCAAAGCAATGGCTTTGCTTGGTCAAGTAAATCTTCCTTGAAACAAAACGTTTGTTATCTTTTTGTTAAAAATGTAAATGTCCTGAATCACCAAGGATCCCAAAGATTTTTTCTCATTTTCAATCCAAGGGGACATATTAGGGAACTATAGGTCTTCTACGCGTTAATAATAATCCTTTATGGTATATTGACCAAAGTATGTGTTAGACATTTCATTCAGACCACAAAGAACCATATCAACATGTGGTAAAAGGGCATAAAATGTTGTCTTTAAAGAATTGTTCTCGACAGAAGTAGGATCAATGTGCATTGATTGTCTTGTGTGCAGGAATGATTCAGCTGATAATGAACCAGATGAATCTAAACAGAAAATGATCTTTTTTTAAATCGTTGAGAGGCGAAACTATGACAGCGTCTCAGAGCTGGACGGACACACATTTGCATATGACTGTATTCGTCTTATATTGTCATCATTAGACTCCTAATCGCTCAAAATAAAAGGTGCATGAAAACGGAATTCATATTTTCAGTTTTTACATGCAAACACCTGGTTGCCACTTTTAAAAGTCAAACCGGAAAAAAGCGATAGGACAATAAGTGATGTTTCTTCTAACCAGCTTTGACTAAAAAGTGCAGACAGAGGGCAGATGCAGGAATCTATTCACCAGATAACGACATGACACTGCCCTGTTATTGTTGTGACAACATGTAACTAATATTTAGTTACGGTGCTTTTAAGACTAAATTTTTACTGGTTAAAAAGATATTATCAAAGCACAATAAAAAAGGTTAAAGTAGGCTGTGGCTGAATCATTCATTATAACCGTTTATCCTGGCAGAGATAAAATGGACCTTTATTAAGTATAAATGAAGCTGTCACAGACTATTACTTAAAGATAAGTGACGTGCGGAAAATTGGGGTTACCGTTCATCACTTTTTGTGTCGGCCATCGAGCAGAGACCAAGACGATAAGCATTCAGCTCAGAGGCTGCTGCTTTTTCTTTCCCTCCAAAAATGATATTTTCAAGTTACTAGCAGGAAAACCTCTGTTAAAAATCAATGGTTATTTTTATTGAGGCAAAAGAAAAAACAAACAATAGCTCACATGTTGGATACAATCTATATTGTTTGAGTACTGAATGAATAAATGAGGAGTTGAACTAGAAGTCATGTGAAGTAATGTTCTGATACAGTGTCAAAGTGTAAACTTCTCACTGAATATGTAACTGAGTGACTCACACACACACATTCCCAACCCGCATGTGCTCTTCCAGTATTTCCCATAAGTACCCCCGAACCATTGGTGCTGCTTACCCCACCACGGTGCCTCACAGCCAATCGCACCCAGCAGGGAGTCCTGCTCACCTGGATCCTGCCTGCCAATCATACAGCACCAATCCAGCATTACGTCATGGAGTTCCGCCTGGGGGAGCGATGGGAGGTCTTGGACGACAGCATTCCTGCTGGGGAGACGGACTTGCTCGCCCGAGACTTGATCCAGGTAAAAGACAGTGGTCAGACAGCATCTGACCAGTTCCACAGTGGAGAAATATCAGAGAAGAGGTGCAGGGTAAAATATGCCAGTTTGCACACAGGCATGTTCCCATTGACTTCTATACAATCAGACTTACCACTACCACATTTTGCCACTAGAGGAGTCGCCCCCTGTTGGCCATTAAAAACATGCAGCTTTAAGACACTTCTTCACTGGCTTCACTTTGACACACCTGAATGTTGTCCCTTGACTTACACCTGTAATATATGCGGTCAGATCAGTCTCAATAATTGCAATTAAGAACAGAAAGACTTACAAATGCGCACAAAACCAAACAACAAATATATTAAATTTGTAAATGCATTACGTTAAGGATTTACAAATACATCTGAAAGCACACATAAATTATGATTTAGTTTTTTTGATGTGGCTGTCGCAAACGTTTTCAACAACATTCAACATCTGTAGCCAGTCAGACTTCCCTCCCCACAAGGCTGCCAGCGTTACAGTTACGCAACTTGCAAAAGCAAAGCGACAGATCAAAGGTCAGCAAACAATGGCGTCTGGTAGTGACGGCGCTCCGGTTCGAGTCAAACAAGTTTCAGGACGTTGATGATTAGGTTTGAGTAGTGAAATATTGCTATGTCAAATATGTTGCATCATGGATCCTATAGCTAACTGTTTTGCAATGTAATGCATACAGACAACCTAGGATCACAAGCTAACGTTAACTTAGTCAATATGCAATCATTATTATTAAGCAATAGGTTGTACGCATTTGAGAATCCAGCCACAAAAACACAATTTTTCCCTTGAATACATCCAGATAAAAAAGTATTAAACAAACATAACATATTTTTAAAGATCAAGTGTTCCAACATTTCACTGCATCACGTCATTTTCTGTCTTTAGAAAGTTTCCTCCTGCAGACTGTACTTTCACAAAACATTAAAGAACAGTCTGTTCTGTTTCACAGCGCAGAAAGAAAACTTGATCTAAGAGCTTACCTGCACAAATTACACTGAGGTTAATATGTTCAGATTTCAGGTAAACTTGATCCATTTGCAATATCTGCCATTTCTGGTTATTATATGTTACGTCTAACGCCCAGAGCACACACGCGTGCTTTTAATTCTGCAGGTCTCCTACTAGCTTGCACCGAGCGAGAAGATGGACTAGCAACCGAAACAATGCACCTTTTTCTAACTCTTTTTTTGAGGTCATTTCAACAGGGAGGGAAATGCTATGTTTGGCCGTTTAGGACTCAACTACTGAGACCCTCACCTTACTAATGAAACACTACGTTCACCATTAAAACGCTCACACACACACTACTGAAACACTCATACATACTTTATAAACCTATGCACGTGCGTATATAAAACTTTATACACACTCGTCTGAAACACTTACACATACATATGAGAAGCACACACGCTTACACATATACCTTTGTGTCATATGTACACAAATATGAAATCCTTACATGAATACAAGCATGCACATATGAAAAGGTTGTATGTGTATATATTGTTGAACACGTATACATTTATAACTGAATCTCTTGCATGCGATTGCAAAGAAAATACATATGCAAGTCTTTCACATATATTTGTTTAAATGTTTCAAATGTGTATGTATACGTTTTTCAGTTATATGTATGTATGCTCTTACTTGAAGATGTGCAAGCGTTTTACATCACTTTCATTTATACAAGTCATGTCAGTAGCGGTACGGTGGCGTGGTGGTTAGCACTGTCGCCTCACAGCAAGAAGGTCCTGGGTTTGACTTTCTGTGTGGAGTCTGCATGTTCTCCCCGTGTCTGCGTGGGTTCTCTCCGGTTTCTCCGGCTTCCTCCCACAGTCCAAAGACATGCTCTGGGGATCAGGTTGATTGGTGACTCTAAATTGCCCGTAGAGGTGTGAGTGTGAGTGGTCGTATGTCTCTGTGTTAGCCCTGCGATTGGCTGGCGACCAATCTGAGGTGTACCCTGTCCCTTGCCCGAAGTTGGCTTAGACTTAGCCCTGTGTGCAGGATAAGTGGTTTGTAGATGGATGGATGGATTTCAGTAGTCACCATAAGAGCTTTTCACTAGTGTGTATGCATGAAGGCAGGTAGGAAGGTTGAAGGCAGATCTGAGTGCAGGTTTTGAAGTGCCAATCTTATGCGCCTCCTCACTATGGACCTGTGGAACGTCAACAGTCGTAGCCCAAGTACTGTTCCAATTTTGCAGAGAACATAACAACATAATGCCCATTTGACCAAGAACAAATATCCCATATATACACATATACTCTCTGTATGTATATACATATACATAACTCATAAACTTACTTCTTATAAACATCATCATTAGTGCTTAACCACATAGTATTTCATATGTATGATACTGTGATCATAGTGTGTAAGGCAAGACTGTAATATTTCAAACGGTGTGAAGCACTAATATATTCAGTACACGAGTACACAATATTTCTGTTCGAGGTTGGTTCTGCCCGGTTCCTGGAGTACAACAGACGATTATGAATTAGTGTAACTTTTAATGACATAACTATGCACCATAAAAGTGATGGTTCACAATCATTGAAATTACAAAAGCCCGGCTAAATTTAAATGTCAATGTCGACATCACATCAAGAGTGGAATTTTGTTTTGTTTCTAGAAAGCTCAAGAAGTCATACAATTGATTTCATTAGCTGATCAGAATTTAATTAGTAAAAGACTATAAGTGAACTATTGATACAGCCACAAAGCCTGTGTGTCACCTCTCTGCTCCTAGGAGGCGTGGTACGAGTTCCGCGTCATGGCCGTCATGGACGACACCATCAGCGAGCCCAGCAACGTAGTAGGAGTGTCCAGCACAGGTGAGAGGGGGCCGAGCCGCTGCCTTGATGAAACTCAAAAGGAGCTTCCTCAAAGCCGGCAGTGTCTGCGAGCATCGGCGTGTATCCGTAACCTGGGGCGGTGCTGGTGAGGCATCCGAGGGGATGCTGCGGATGTAGTGCACACGCAGCAGCTCTCAACTTTACATTTCGCCCACTCGGCACTATTAAATGTGAGCTGTTTTACGTGCCCACATCCTTAGTGCCGATCTGAAAAGCATGACATCATCGCTCCGTCAGTCTCCCATTGATTGTAGCGGGCGGCTTTGTGCTACAGAAAAAGATTCAAAGATCAAAGCCACTCTTTTCTTGGTGCTAATGTCTCTTTTAAATCTGAAACGAAACCCGTCAAAATGTGATGTTCCTCATCTGCGGAGGTCACTGGGTACGCGGTATTTGGATGGAACAGCTGTTGGCAGCATTTGTAGCGTGGATGAGCTCACGGATCTGTGGAAGCACTCTGCTGCCCCCTACTGCTGAATATGTAGAGCTGCGTGAAGTATCGAGTCGACTGCTTTTTCTCTCTGTGCTTATCGTAAATCAGCATCATACTCCATACATTATGTTGATGCACCCTCCCCTTGTGGAGATGAAAGGTATTATCTAGCTGATCAGTAGTTATTTCTTAAACCCAACTTACCAAAGGTGCAGCACTTTGCATTTTGCTGTATTGTGCTTGTGGCTGGGTTTTATCTCCTTCATGACATGGATAGTGCACTACTGTGTGGGTTGCTCTGATGCATCTCCTAAACGTGAAGAGCTGAGGAGAGCAGCCGGGCGCCATGTTGAACGGAGTATCAGACAACAGAGGAGAAAGGCACTTCTAGAATGGAAGGCTGCAGGATTAAAATGAGCCAAAATGATGACTGCGGTCATTTTTCAGCAATTGATCAATCATTGATTTTAGCATGCAAAACTTTTTTGTTGCGCTTACACATAGTAGGTATAGAGATCACTGCTGACTTCACGTTGTGCCGCATCTTGCATATTTTCATTAAATCAAAAATTATTATTAAAAGGCCGACAGGAACGAGGAACATCCAGACGATAGACAGGGATATCCGTGACAAAGGACAATGACGCCACAAGTGACAGGAGACACACACTGCTTAAATACAAAAGTGAGGTGCCGGTGATTGGACACAGGTGGAAACAATCCGACAATCACAGGGGATGACAGGACCAGGCTGGAAGTGAAGTTACCCGGGGACACGAGTGGCAGAGAACTACAAAATAAGACAGGAAGTGCACCACACCGTGACAAATATATAAAAAATAGAGACTTATGTCTTTAGGATCGATTATGGCATCCTGTAGATGTATTAAGAGTATCCTGCTCCTATTCCCCACAGTTTAAGTTGACACAGTATTAAGACAAACCAACAAAAAAAAAAAAATTGGAAACCAGCCTCTGTGTTCATATTTTTCTGTCAAGGAGAGAAACCGCAGGAGGGGCAATACACAAAAATGGTGGACGGCAAACGTGCAAAAAGGCTTAGGCAGTCGGAATCCAAACATGTAGCAGGGCGGTAGACTTGGTTCAGAAGACTAACTGGACTAGGAAAAGTGCCGGGATGCTTGGCGGACGGTAACAAACGACACAGAGCACGCCGTCGAGTCACAAGTGAAAATCAGGAAGGCAGCTGCAATCTGCTCAGCGGGATGACATGAGGGCACCTGAAACAAGAGGGAGACATGTCAAAGTAACACAGGAAACAGTAAACAGTGCTTCATTGCCCGGCCTGACATCATGTATGGCCCAGTAAATTTATTTGCTTTTTTTTTTTTTTTTACCACTGTTGCAAATGGACTTTTCAGTGATCTGTTTCTTAACAGTAAAACATGTTTGCATATTCATATATTTATTTACAGGATAAGAGTATTCATTACATAAGAGAATTTAAAGCATTTAGGAACGTTGAACTTGTTATTTAACGCTCAATCATGTTATTTAACACAACATTATTCCAAGCACAGCGCAACCTAAAGAGGCAGCAACCAGATAATGCATTGCATGTGTAGCCTCTGTAGATTTTTACACTGTAATATTTACATTCTACTTAGTCATCATGGCATGTATCATGAGGAAATGCCCATTTTGAAGACACATGCGATAGTAAAGGTCAGCTTCTGCATATTTGAATCTCATTGGAAGGGCTTTTGCTTTCACTTCAAAGGCTCCTCTGCAGGTACCAAGGTGTCTATTTTTAACGTCATACAAACCTGATTCAGTCTCTCATATAGTTAAATACCAGCTTAATCACAGCACAGTGTGTTCTCGCAAAGGACAGCATGCTCTTTTTTCATGAGACATCTACGTGGTAATCTCATGGTAAATATCAGCCCCGGGATATGAATGTTGACATTAGCTTTAATCTCCAGCAGTGGCATATTACAAGTCGAGTGAGCAAACTTAAGGTTTGACATTTCTTTCTTTATTCTCGCTCCTCCATTCAACTGTTCATTTGTCTTCTTCCAACGGAAAAGGCCACACCAGATCCCAACTGCAGCGCCCCTGACTCCTCCCTCCTCACCCCACAGACTTCTTCCCTCCTCCGGAGATGGTGGAGGAACGTGGACTGGCGCGGCCGGTAGTGGCCGGCATCGTGGCCACCATTTGTTTCCTGGCAGCAGCTGTCCTGTTCAGCACGATGGCGGCCTGTTTCGTCAACAAGCAGCGCAGGAGGAAGCTCAAGAGGAAAAGAGGTGAGGACAAAGTCATTAATGGCTGTCTCTGATATCACGAAGCCAACGTTTTGGGAACTTCTCCAATATGGCAAAGAAGGAGATGAGAAGATTTTGTCGTGGCGCACACCATCCATCACAGGAATACTGTAGCGTTCGGGAGAATCAATTGACAGAAAATGTTTTGCCAGGAAACATTCTTAGTTTGGGGGACAAATGTTTTGCTTGGAGACTTGGTGGCGGACTCCAGTCACTTGAGTGTAACATCAACAAACTATTTTCACCCTGCTACATGTTTTCACTGATAGAAACTAATTTCAAGGAACCAAGAAACTCTTTGAAAATGGATCGCCAGAGGCTTCTTACTCTATTGCGTCCCAGGGTTTGCCTGCTTTTACGTCCAAAGTTATTAATAATGAAAACATCTATTATGTAAGCTCAACTGTGACAAACTACCAGACATGATACATAAATGATTTGTGTACGTTAGCTGCAGCCTTTATTTCCAGTACCAACAGAAAACATCAAACATTGTTTCACTAGAATGTAAGCAAAAATAAGTTTGACACTTCAGAAAGAAGCCATTGTTTTATCCATCCATTTTTATTTAATCATTTTCCTTTAAACTTGGTGTCAAACCTCGCGCTCGGCTCCGCCGCACTGATGTTGTCCTTAGGGGAAGTCTCTATAAACTTTATTTGACAGTGTCTCTGATGTGGTTTATCTTGAATACTTGAAGGTATTTTTCTCAGTATGAATACAATTTGTGTGCACTTAAGATACAATTTTACCCTGAATGTGAGAGCACTTCATCTCATCCCTCTGCTACACTGCCTCTAACTGTATTTATTCTTCATTCATCGTGAACTTTTTCATTTGAGTAGTTATCATACCAGCATACTAAAATGTACTTAAAATGTAAAATAGCTCTAACGGCTTTTTTTCATCTTCCAGACCCCCCTCTCTCCATAACCCACTGCAGAAAAAGCATGGAAACACCGTAAGTAACCCCAACATGACTCCCACCACTGCTTCACTGCTCCGCTCTACTGCAGACCCCATCAAACAGCACACCTTAGTTAGTATCATACATATATCAACTTATACCCGTTGATAAATAAATTGTCTTTATCGACCCTGGAATACGTTTCCCTCAATAAAGTCATAGCAGGAAGAGCGCAGGTGTGGCTTATAACATTAACCGCGGCTCTAGCAAGATGTACCTGTGGGCGGATGTGCGCAGGCTGGAGCCGGGCAACGTCCACCGTATGAATGGAACATCATGATGTTACACCGGTATCAGGCCGGAGAAAATGTCTGCCAGGAGGAAGGTCGCTCTGCTCCGGGGAGAGAGGCTTAAGTGAGATATACGACTCCTCCACTGGCTGTCTTTAGATTTGCATACTGGATGGTGTTTTCAAATGAAATATCCACAAAACCTCAGTTTTTGTTCTATTGGAAATATTTTATTCATTTTCTGATTCATGAACTAGTTAAACCTATTTCATACGTGTCAAAAGTTTACTGTGGTTTTAACAGTTTCCTCCCATTGTGAACAAAGTTGTTTCATTCTCTACAAATCCCATGTGAGGACAGAATCCTGCAGGGAATCTGTACTACCAAGTACTGTATGTATCAAAGCCTAGTGCGTCTTTGTCCTCTGTTCCATCGAGAGCCGAGCACACATCACCGACAAACACTGTTGGACTGGGTGTTTACTTTTCTAACGCAATGCACTTTAATTTGACTCAGTCCCATGAATACTCACTAGCTCAGCTCATCCACGGCTGAAAATATTCCCCAATATATGCACAATGTTACTCCTGTTTTAGGGGCGTTGTTGTTTATTTGACACTTTATATTGAAAGACAGTAAATGTAATTGACATCTTCATTAGGAACCAGTGGGCTTAAGTCTCAGCACCACAGACAGGGTAGGGATGCATGATGTAATGGGGGACTGACACATGGTTTGGCATGTATTGGGTAGTTTGTTGTCGATAAGATAATATGTACACAGGGCGTTAAAAGCGGGTCCTGTTTCGCTTCCATCGGGACTCTTTTTGGGACGCAGTTTGTTTGTGGTGTGAAAGAATCCACTAACCACAGGATTCCCTGATCACATAATTGACACCTAGTATGATTTCAAAAGCTAGACTACTAATAATCCATGTTTATAGGCTTCCCTATTCATGCATACAATTTAATTAGTTCAGTATGTCCATTATAAATGTGTGGCAGCGAACGCTCAGTAATAAGCCCTTAAACTCCTTACTGTCTCTACCTATAAGTAATAAGTCATGACATATGCTTGGTTTGCAGTCTAACAATACTAAAAATGCTTATTCTCTTGTGACACTTAACCAGATAAATACACATAAGAAGCATCTAAGTGCTGCATGACCTTCAGTCAGCATTGGAATTTGATTCCCCCCAAGTGCACCTGATGATGCAGGATCGACCAAACTAACTAACAGTCAGTCTGTAAAACTATCAATAGCCTTCCCATCTAGATGAGTTTGTAAAAGGTCAGTGTGTACGGGAACCAGACCATAACATTATACTTTCAGTACATTTTACACGTTTATACGTTTCACTGGTGTGGACGGTAAGAACTCGCCTACAAGTCAAACTTGGAATAAAGATCAAAGCCCTTTCGTTTATTGGCCACTCAAAGCGCTCTAACACTGCATGACATCATCCACACATTCACGCCCATTCTCACGCTGATTGCAGGGCCGACACGTTGCATGTAGACTAAAAGCTCCTACCAATTGGGACTCTGACTGGCATTCATAACCATTCAGAGCAATTTGGGGTTGCGATTGATGATCTGATTCGTGGAGCAGTTAATAATCATCTGGCAGAAAAACCAACCAACCAATTTGAATCTTGTTTATAGTATATATATATATATATTATACATATTAGTATACATATTTACTCAGTTTGACTGATCTGCACAGTCCAAATATGGGGTTGCTGTACTCTTGTGGAAGCTTTTTTTTTTTACTTTAGCATTAGCTAATTCTTCACGGAGAGGCACCACAGGGCTGCCGACGCCATCAGAAAGTCGCACACTGGGAAGCATGTGTCATTTTGACAAAACACCTGTTGACTTGATTTCTCCCTGCTGACCCTTCTTCCACCTTCTCGTGTCTGTGGGGTACAATGATATGTACCTGGAGAGAGAGTTTTTATCAGATAAATAGGGCTCTGTTGTGAGATTTTGGCACCGGGCCACATCCTTTCCTCTCTTTTGCCTTTATCTCCCTCTAGTTGCTCCATGGAAGACCTTCTCTGCAGCTTACTAATTCATCTTCCCATTTCTCTCCTTTCCCTCTCACTTAAAGACATCCCGCTGTTTCCTCTCTTTTTCTCTTGCTGTTTCAAACATACCTCTCATTGCCATGCTTCCTGCTAACCTCCATATTCTTCCCATTTCTTACTGTCTGATCTCCCCAATCTACAGGAGCCCACTTAGCCTCATTCCCAGCATTGAACCCTACTGGGAGGGGCTGGACGCAGGCAGGTACAGGCCCCGACCCTCCAGTCCTCAGTGAGTGTGCCAACCGCTGTCCCCCCCATTCTTGCACACAGTTTACACCTCCCCCTGTTGCTCCTTGTTTGAAGTCCTGGCCTGGCTGCATGCGTCTGGCCAAATGTACCCACAAGGCCAACAACAAAACTCGCCTGGTTCTTTCGTTGATGAAAAGATTATGGATCTTAATTGTTATTAGGAATGTAAAAGCACACGGGATACGGATTAAAGACAGGGAAGGATTACAAAATCTGTTCAACACTCATTACAGGTCATTTAGCTGAAGCTTTTATCTAGAGCCACTTACATTGCATTTTTAACCCATGGTTTTACACTTTGCCCGGGGAGCACTTAGGGGTTGGGTGTCATGCTCAGGGACACACACGGGACATGGAGCAGCCGGGTTTGACAAGCCAACCTTGCGGTTCCCGGTGCACCCTCTCTACTCCATGCGCCACCGTCACTCCTCACCAATCAGGGCAATCAGGGCAGCAGGGGTCATTAATGGGACGTTCGTGCCGTTATTTCTGAACTTGTTGATGTTTCATTGAATCAATTACCACACAAGTTATAAAACTTTTATTGGTCATTATACAGTATGAACTGAGGATCTCGTAGCTTTACTATTATTGTAAAAAGAGAGATTTTCTATTTTGGTTAAAAAGATGCTTCACAAAAATGCTCAATCGAGAGACACTGCACACTTTTTCTTGAAATCATTAGGACTCATTTAAGGTCGTAATGTCACATCTATTCCAGTAGCCGGTAGAGGTGCTGCTAAACTCTATGTACTTCATACAAGATTGAGTCCTAAGGCTGCAGGGACGCTGTAAAGACGACAACCCAGAAGCGCAGAACAATTATGACCAATCAGTGCAGACAGGGCTTTTATAGGGGGAATAGTTATATTCAAACAGACAGTATGAGAAACGTTATGTGTCTTATGAACCTTAAAGTGTGTAAACCCGTTTTAGTAAAAAAGAAAAATACACATTGGATCTATAGATATGGCTTCCTTTTAAAGGAATAGTTTGTATTTTTGGTAAAACTCATCAGTCTCTTGAAATATGAATCGGTACTCACGCTGCATGGAAGCGTTAGGGTTCGAGTTGGTCAGCTTAGCGGTGCATATACTGGAGGCAGAGGAGGGAAATTACATTATCCATTGCAGTGAGCAAGGCAAGCAGTCTCCTCCTGCTCCCCGTCCTAATGTTAACCTAACCGTCCGGTAGCTCTTGCTTCATATACACAGACATCAGAATAATCCCTGTATTGTACTGGTTCGTTGAAACATCAATGCGGGGAAGATGAATTTAAATGAAAAAGAAAATATTTTTATTGTAATAAACAACATCACACATTGCATGAGAAATGTTAGTATAAAATAAGGCATATATAGCTGCTTTTGTTGGAAATTAATATCTAAATATTTACTCCTTCCAGGGACAATAAAATCATCCCTGACATGTGTTCAACCACATGGCTTCAATGTATACGGTAAAGTAACAGCTCTGAGTGGTGCTGGTTTACTCAATGTGGAGTCTTTATAGTAAGCTAAGCTAACTGTCTCTAGTCGTGTGCTATCAATTCAGATATAAATCAATCCTTTAGAAACTATTGCTTTAACCTAATCCCTGTTCTGCATTGATCGCAGTACTCTATGTGTTGTACCCATTCCTACGGTTTGAGCTGAGCACTCAATGGTGTAATTGTCACTCCTTGAGATTTCTGTTTCACCTCCAAGTGACCTGGAACACTTTCCTTTTGACACTTTGGAAATGATACTCGTCCCCACGTTTCCTTTTCTCATCCCAGATGTGTCATAGTCACACCTTTTCTTATGCCTGTTAATCCACCTTGTTCCATTAAATGAAAGTTAAATGTTTCAGTGTTTAATCTGCATTTTTTAACTTTACGATTCCAGTGCCAACTGCTGCTCATTATAATATGTGTGAAAAAACTTCTGTCTGTGCTTTAATGGTCTGTAGTACTTCAACTTATTCAATAATCGAATAAGTAAATTTGAAGGACCTATCTTTTTTAAAAATAGTTTTAAGTAGTGAGGAGCATTCATTCAATTGCTGTTTAATGACACAGTAAGTTATTTTCTTCGGGAAACCGACATGTTTTCCAGGTTCAGCTGTATTTTCATCATCACGGCCACTCTTCCTCTTGGTTATTGTCCAAATTTCTTAGAGAAAAGGTGAAGCAATAATATCGTCAACATGTTGCAGTTTCTTAGTATTGTAACCAATGGGAATGCTGGTTAAATCAACAGACATAACAGAAACTAAATTGTTATGATTGTTACATTGTACTTGCAGTCTTTATGTGGTCACAGAAAAGTACTCCATTATAAAAACAAATATAGTTTTTGTGATGTATGTATTTGTTACATTATATATCCATAGTGTATGAGAACAAGCTACACATTATTTGTCTCTGTAGCTCAAATAAGCAGATGTGCTATTTCAGAGAAACCATAACACAGTAGGCACCACAGTTGCCTAATAAAGACAACTAGAGTGATTCCTTTATGGTTTGGCTATATGTTTTATTTCCCACTAAATAAAGTAACAGTGGCTTCAAAACAAATTGTTTTCATTTTGCTTTCTTATAGGAAGATAAAGTTATTAACAAGAAATGTCTAATGAATGGGAACAGAGTTTGATGCCGTGTACTTTAAACTGTGTTGTGTACAGTGTGAACTTAAATTCTATGATGCCACTCAAGCTGGCCTCAGAAAAGGGGACAGTTGCAGAAATTGGGCTGTCCCAACTTGCTTTCATTCGAATGACATTTTACTGTCACTCCCAGCTTTGGTTTCTAATATTGTCAATCCTCTGCAGGGGTCTTGGATGAAAGCTCTGCACCCACACCTGTCAGTCGCACCTGCCTGCCATACCGGAGCGTTACATTGCTGATGAAAGCTAGCGAAAAGGCCAGCTCTTTTTCCTCTTACGGCACTGTCATAGATTTTAACCTTTTGGCCCCGTAGCGGTCAAACAAGCTGTAACTTCCAAGCTTGAGTCCAAACATTACGGCAGTTACCTCCTGGCAAAATCCCAGTGAGCATTAAGTAGTGCATTAGGCTGAATAAGGTAAATGTTTAGCCTTGTCAGAAAGTAAGGAAAACTTTTTGAAAAAGCTGCAAGTCCATATATGAATGTGAACACTTCTTTTATTATACCGAAATATATTTTTACTTTAATGTTTTAAAGTATTTTAATGGAATATGTTTTTTCATAATCACTACATTATTATTTCATTTCAAATCAAGTACGTAGACAGGAAAAATGAAAGGGAGTCACTCTCCAAATAGCTGGTATGAAAGGCACGTTTTGTGTACCAATAAAGAATGTGGAATTCCATGAAATTGATAAAATGTACGTCAGAAATGTCTCTAGACTTCCTTCATTATGTGCACCTTCCTGACTACTTGACAATCAAAACAATCATCTCATCAAGTTGGGGGCAACGTGGAAGCATATGATGCCTTTTGCGACTGTTGAATGAAAAGTTAGGATGCAATTAATATATATTAATTCCCAGCTGTCTGCCAAAGTTCATTACATTTAGTTTTGAGAAAAAAGCTGGTATCAAATTAATCATTATATTTCTTCAGTTCCCATTGGTCACGCCATATTTATGTTCAAGACAGTGGATGTTTTCCTATTAACTTGTGAAGATGTTGCAAACGCCCTGGTTATTTAGTGAAGGCCCTTCTTGATTCCTAATTGTACTGATTCAAAGTTAGCAGGCAACATTGTTTTATTTTCTATCTATTCACTTATGACTCCGCATCAAACAGGTGTTTTGAAGAAGATGTCATAATCCTGTCATTTGAGTGCAGCCGTCCTTGATGTTATTAATTAAACCTGTGTTTTTATATCTCATCTTCATATTCCTTTATTTTGTAGCTCCATCCGTTTTCAGCACCTTCAGTGGGGCTTTGCACCGTATACGGGCTTTATGGTGATTTAAAGAATCAATTCTTCTGTATTTTCTTCTATAGGTCATCGTCAGGAAAGGTGAGCCCAGAGAGCATGCGTTCAAAGGCATCCCTGTCACATTCATCTGAAGATGGTCATGAGCAGCGGGGGACGAAACCCCCCCCAAGTCCGGGGAGGAGGGAGGAGTTGTCTTTATACAAGAAGACTAAAAGAGCAATATCGAGCAAGAAATACGGCATCTCCAAGCATGAAGCTGAAGCAACAACACCAATTGAACTTATCTGCCGAGGCCCAGATGGACGCTTTGTCATAGATCCCACTGACCCAGAAATGTCTGTTAAGCCCCGGCGGATTGTGGGCTTCCCCTTTGTGGAAGAATCAGACCTCTATCCTGAATTCCGTCAGTCAGATGAAGAGAATGACGATCCCAGGCCTCTGCCCCCAGTTATGGCACCACTGCGGCCTCACCAGATTTCCCCGATCTCCAGTCAGGAATCCTACCTGCAACCTCCGGCTTACAGCCCTCGTTTCCAGAGGCCCTTCGAAGGTATGACCATCATGGAGAGCAGTCGGCTCCAGGCCACTGGGCAGATCCGAGGTTCTCTCCACCACAGAGCTTTCTATGGCTACCTAGGCCCCCCTGGGGATCATGATCCCCCACCTCCTTTTTACATGCCTGATACTAGCCCTCTCAGCTCAGTCATGTCCTCCCCTCCATACCTTGCTGAAGGTCCTTTCGGTCACCCAATGATTCCTGAAGAAATGGGGGAGGGGGATTTCCCACAATATGCTGTTCCTGGTTTCCCACTTCCTCTGACACTCGCCTCTTCCTCTCGTTCCCCAGAGATTTGGCAAGGACTGGATTTTACCTTTGCAAGTCTGGAGGGGCCCCAATTCATTTTTCCGCCCCATCACCCTTTGCATCTCCGCCACGACTCACCCTATCCTCCTGCCCCTCATGTTCTTCCCCTGAGTGCTTTCCAACCCTCCTCTCTTCCAATGCCCACTTATCCAGCTGTCCTGCCACTGGGGATCCAAAAGAGCCGCTCAACCAAGTCTCCAAGCAAGGCCAGGCTTCGTGGCTCTCCTGCCAAGCATTTTGCTATGCAAGAGGCACATTTAGGGCACCTAAGACACGCAAGCCAGGGTATTGGTCTGCCTGTTTTTCCTTACACCGATCAAATGGCACATATTGTCCCCAGTACATTCAGTAGCTTGGACACGCGATGGTTTGAAACCACCCCTCGTTTCAGTCCCAGACAGGCTCGTAGGATGGATTCTGGCATGCATCAGGTGGTTCTTCAGCCCTCCCGACTCTCACCCCTCACCCAAAGCCCACTTAGTTCTCACAATAGCTCGCCAGAGATTGTAGTACGCCCCAGGCCACGTCCCAGCATTGTCCAACCACACATTCCCCCAGAGATGTCTGAGATTACGCTCCTCCCTCCTTCCACAGCCAGCTTCTCAAGGAGATCTACCCCCTCCCCCTTACCTGCTCAAGGCAAGGTTAGCAGAAGAGCAAGTCCCAGCTACCGTTCCCACATGGCTTTTGCCACCTCTGCAACCAGCTACCCAGCTTCCCAGTCCCCATCACCCCCCATGGAAAGCAGCAACATTTTTGGGCAGATGCCATCTCAGAGGAGGACTGAGGAGGGGATCCTTCCATCCGAGCCCTCTCCAGCCCAGTTGTCAGCTTCAGGGTAGGTGCATTAGTCATGCAGAGAGGGATACCATTTAAATCATCTGCGCAAACCCATAATGCTTGGATGTATAGAGTTGTTTTTACATCTTGGTTAGTGACAGAGCTGTCTAATATCGATACATACATTTTAAAATAATCGCTGTGATTAATTCGTTTTGTTTTCTTTTAAATGTTTTTTTTCATTTTTTTCAACAATTCAATGTGAAAAAATGACAACTGAAGGTTTAAGGAAACATTTGGTTGTGATGATTCATCTGATGAGCTCTGGAAGTTCAGTTCAGTTTCAGCTTGGTCAATGCTGCTTTTCATGTCAGACATCAAGTTAGAGGTATTCACCATTGAATCTGTGAAGCATTGTCCCAAAATGATCACCTTAAAAAATACAAAACATTTTCCAGTCAAAAAGTTAAAACTGTGAAAGAAATTATTTGTTGAATTGACAAGAGAATGCATTTGCTTCACAGATTACATTTCAGACCTTTTGGGGCTACAGTCCACTCAGATGAGTAACAATATTTCCAGTGCAATTTGCTTGGTACAAGCCCCTGAAGGCCTGGGAACTTACAGATCACCACAGATCCCTGTTTTTCCATCTGTATCATGCGTTACCCTGCTTTAACCTAACAGGAGGAATCCCACAATATTCATCAAATTGATTGCCCAGACAAAGCAAACCATTGTTATGTCTAGTTCCAAGCCTTTGAAGATGCCTTTGTCATGGAGAGGGGTGCTTAAAGAAGAGTTCATCCTGGCAGGCCCTGCGGCCCATCCTCGGCCTTAGTGACCTGACTGCATGACCAACCCTCCCTTACCTTCCAACCACTCATATTTTCTCCTACCCTACTTCCACCTCTCTTTCTGTAACCCTCCTTTACCCAACGCCTTTAATTGCGCCCATGACATCCCCAGGTCTGACTACCAAGGATAGGTTGTTGGGCCAAGTGTGTCACAGGGCCCGTCCGCTTCTCATGTACTACAATGTCTCCATCATTATGAATCAGGGGCATTATGGTGGTTCTTGATGGCTCCTGGAGTCTTACCTGCTTTGTTTTTGATTGATCTCAGCTATCTGGGCAGCGTTGTTGTGACCAGGTCCTCTACACCACAATAGGTAAGGGTTGGATCCATGTCTGAAAGGGGGGGGTTAGCAGGTGGGATTTTTTTTGATCACCTCGTCCTTTAAAGGGGAATACAAGACGCTGAGTCTTTGTTTGATTTGTACCTTTCTTCAGTCAACATGTGTGTAGTTCATTTCAGTTCTTTACTTTTTCCTTTTTCTTCAAGTGGCTATGCATTTTAAGTTCTGCAGTCTCCAGTACATTATGCATTCTGATATGCACATGCCATCAGTTAGCCAACGAATTAGGTCGGTTGTATCACCAACATGACTTCATGCTTGAGTGGTTTGCTAACTGACCATGTTCAACCAAATCCACCACAGGTCTATGCAAACGTAAGGCACTAGTGCTCTTACCAGCCTCCGATTTTAATATTTATTTTTCATTCATAATTATTTATTGCTTTATTCTGAAAATTGGTTGAGCAAATGTCACATGGAAATATAATACATTTCATTATAGTATTCGGAGAATAATCCTAAAAACATGTGCGCAAAGCCAAACTGACTGTTCTTTTCTGAAACTTTACTAATGAAACTACACCTTACACACTTAGGTTGTCATGGGTCCAATATCAGTTAAATGATTGCCAGTACAGAGAGAAGCCTCGGAAAATAAATGTAACCACAGTAATTGGTACAAATTTGTAAGTTTGTCGTGGCGCAGGGGTTAGAGAAAGTGTGCTGGGAAGCACAAGGTTGGTGGTTTGATTCCAGGCTGCCCCATGTTCCATGTTGAAGTGTCCCTGAGCAAGACACCTAACTCCTAATTGCTCCCCAGGCGAAAATGTGAAAAAGCCATGGGTTTAAAGTGTAATGTAAGTCGCTTTGGATAAAAGCGTCTGCTAAATGACCTGTAATATAATGTAAGTTCTACTAACTTATTGATCGATTTACCCCAATTAGCCTCATTCAAAGCACAGTTGAGGCAGACCAATTCCCTCCTGTAGTATGCAATTCGTGTTAACCTCAGATTACCTTTAATCCATGCAAATGAAAGAACTCTTAAGTAAACATGACAATTCAAGGTTATTCAAGATACCACCATAAAGGAGAACTATTCCTGTTCCACTCTGATCTCAGCAAAGGTAAAGGTGTTACAGGTGTAAAGTATAAAACCTGGTTTATATGTCTCAATTTCATTACCCAAGGAAAGAACAGAAGGCATTGCTAAATGCTGATTGTGTGGCAATGTCTTTTTCTATGGAGCGCATGGTCAAAGATAGCACATGTCCAAAATACAGTCAGTGCCTCCTTCCCTCTTTTTCTCTTTAGCCCAGTTAAGTAATTCATATCCTCTTTTTTCTCCTGTGCAATTTCTTTCATGTTATTGCTGCTTATGATTCAAATCTAAGCAAGCCTTCATAGCAGACATCCTCACATTTACAAGACCCATCTGATTGCAGAGTTGATATTCAAGGATTACCACACTTCTTAACAGGATGCCTTTAGTGTTTACTATCACCTGTGAGACAACCGTGTGCTCTACATACTGTAGGACGGATATAGGCGCCTTTGGTTGAACCATCTAATTCTCAACATGCCATTCCTTCAACTCACTTTTCCAAAATTCAGCAAGATTTTAATCTGACATCCAAGTGCTCCAAGTTCTCCTTGCCCTACCTCTGGGTCAGAAGAAGCCTCATAGGGATGTGAAGGGCCAATCAATTGCATTCCTTGGCCACTGACCAGAGGCCGGCAAAGCAGTCAGGCCACACTGCCTTTGTGCGTTGGGTAACGTCTTGCTGTCTAGTTTTAGCGCCCATGTAAACGGGCTCGAGCAGACTCACTGCATACGTATGCGTGTGTTCTAGAGATTTTAGGTCTCACCTATTTTTTCCCGCCATGTAGAAAGTGAAAAGGATCTTATGACAGTGTATTGAAATCATACCAGCAACATTACTACAATTCTATGGCTGTAGATCATGTCACAGATATGAGAAAAGAACCCAGATATGAGGGAGCGAGTCGGCAACCAGTTTCCATGGAGACTTGGAACACGAGGGGTAGAGGAGCGGGGCATTAGACCACCTATCTGCTGTCGTAATTTTCCCTCACCTGTGTGGAAACCACATGAGTTCAGCGAGGCGGCATGCTAATAATAAAGGCAGCTGTCTTACTAAATACTATTTACAAAAAATAACTAATAGTGATTACAATAAAATGGCTCGTTACATATTCTTGGAACTTGAGTTAGATCGAGGTTATGTTGATTGCTTATAACTAAAAGTTCTCAGCAGGTGTTATAACCAGTCTATGTTGGTGTCCTGACTTTTTGTACAATATATATTAATACAAGGCAGCATACTGTGTATTTGTTTACGGTCGGACTATTTGGACGTCTACATTGACATCCTTTATCGTCTAACAATCACGTTCTAAAATGCTCTTAGCATTCTCCTCAAGCGTGACACATTCTGCTATTAATATATTTTACAGATGTTTGTATTGTATGACACCAATTGAAATCTTTTGGACCCCAATCTCCAAGAAATAATTTGTAAGATTGCCGTTAGGACGTCAACTTAAGCTGTGTGTCCACTGGGATTCAGCTTTCGCTTTTTTTGGCATTAACAATGAAGCAAAAAGTATGGTGCATGTTCCTGGCAATGATGATGTCTTAGCATGCGTGTGAAGAAGCAAGTGAAGAAAAACAAAACAAATGCAAAAGATACTTACCTGGTTTTGAACAATAACAGAGCAATAGCAGGGGCCATGACCAGTGCTTTAATCTCTATCTAGCCCCAGTAACTAAAAGCAGATTCCTGGTGGACACATGGCCTTAACCTCGTGTAGAAAGCATCTGTATAGAGCATCAATCTACTGTAAGTGTATATTTGCACTTTATGTTTGGACTGGAGAACAGTTCCGACAAGACAGCTTACGCACTTCTCTTTATTCTAAGGAACAAATATTTTGCCAAGGGCTTGCAGAGAGGGTGACACACAAGGGGGCTTAAGGACCCCTCATGTGTGAGTGAACTACCTGAGCACTTTTGAATGTATTCCCCTTTAAAGTCGTGTTCCATGTGCAATCTGCCATGCATGCCATCGCTAAATATTGCTCCTCCGTTTAAAAAAAAAAAGAAAAAAAAGAAAAAATTCTATGGATAAATTCTTGTTACATTTGTTGTCCTAGTGCTTCGCTTTTCTTTGGCTTATTTTTCATTATGTGACTGTTCCCGAGTAGTCATTTTCCCCTCCCGCCATCTCTCCCCCTGTCAGCATGGTGAAGCCCATTGTAGACAGTATCCATGTCTATGAATACATATTGATGATGCTTTGTTGCTCAGCTATGATTCTCCCCCTCTACTAACGACGTTCGGTTTCTCTCTGCAGCCACGGTGGGAAGATGGCCTCTGTGTAATGCTTACTGTTGTCTGTGCCTTGGAACTGAATATATGTTTGTGGCAGAGATCTGTGGGCCTGCCAAGTCATAAAGCTGCCTCCGCAAATGGGAGGGAGGTCTGTGCAGTCGTGAGCTGACTGAGAAATATACACTCAAAAACAAGAAAACATTTGTTCTGTTATTTTCAGAGAGCGATAAATAATTAAAAAAAATTAAACAATCTGCAAAAGTATCGTAAATTCATATTTTTGCTTATATTTTGTTAAAAAATATTTTTTGCCCCCATCTTTTGGACATTTTTTCTCTGAAACCAACAGCGCATGTATTTTTTTGAATGATGTATCTTCTCAAAATGTACTCAGCGGTCCGATCTGCACTATGAGGTCAATAGATGGTTTCAGGGTTCATGTAATACTTTGCTTTCCTTTTGATAAAGATTGTTTGGATCAATTTCCCAAAATTGAGCAAAATGTCTTCAATGTCCCTGAAGAGCAGGGAAATTACAAGATGCACAATTTGATACACCATCTGGATTTATCAACATATTTTGTGAAGTACAATCCTCTTTTAGTTGAACATAACTGTAAGTAAATCCAGATGACGTACAAGGTTTTGCAAATAGTATAATTAATGGCACTATTCTTCAAACTTTTATGAAGAAAACTTTGGTTAGTTTTCCTGTTGTCTCATATTGATCCTTTGGCAGAGTGCTGCACCTCTTTGCTTAGCACGAGCAGTGCAACAGAGGTTGTGTGGGTTTCTGGCTCCGTTGCACTCCGTAGTGCAGGCACACAGTCCACTGACCATGTTTGGCCCGGAGTTACCCGTCTTCCCCTCTCTCTGCTCTTCATCCAGAAAACGTCGAGGTGCGCCGAGTGCCCTTTCGGGGTCTGAGAGGATTGATGCTCTGAGATACCAACGTATTAAGAAGGCCAAGAAGATGATGATGAACAACAATAACTCCAAGTCAAGAAAGAAAGCAGGTGTGAAACCTGTTCCTCTCACTTATTACGCAGAGATTATTTTTTTAATTGCAATTTCATAATGACCTTATTTTTATTTTATATGATGCATTTGTATGCCTTTTGTGACCTGTGAAGGATGTTTCTATGGTTGTTTGTTAATTTCCGAAAACTCTTTTGTTGAATCAATTGGGTGGTCGCTACTGATTCGGCATTTTACTTTGTAAAAACGTTGCCATTGCAAGCAGTATTGTCCAGTCAGAGGTCGTTCAGAACGCGTGCCAGCTCATAGCATCCGATTGCTTAGGCTCCAGACACGGAGGCATGCGTATGCAGTGACAATCTGGGGAAGCGAAGAAGAGCTTGGTTTTATCGTTAATACTTTTAGCATTACAAGAAAATTGCTGTGTATGAGCCGGCCTGGAAAGGCCTGCAGCAGATATATGGCTTGATTCCCAGAGACCCCCCAAGCCCCGCCCCCTAGTACTGCACTTCTTTATTGACTTTGAATGTGTCTAAATAGTCAAAATCTTGCATTGCCAGGTAAGTAGATCAGATGAGCGGCTCTTGAGGTTTGCAGAGGAAACACAGGGCGACAGATTTGTTGCTTTAAAGTTAAACATCTTAACTTTTGGAGGAGTTTTCCAACAATTAAGCATTGCAATTCCATAAAATTGGATGGCTCACAAGAGACAGTTGTAAAGAAAGATGAGATTATTCAAGTCTTGAATGTCTGTATGTCTTATACACAACACAAAAGCTCACTTCATTAGACCACCCTGCTTTGTAGATTCCCACCTATGAGGAACTATCAACGACATTTGCTGTTCATTATTTTGAAGTTAAGATGACAGAGTCATGACAAAGACATCAAAGTTAAGACTCCTGAGTATTCATATTAACTAGAGCACATAATGGAAGACTCTAGCCTTTGTATAGTTGTGGGTCACTGAAACGCTTCCAGTCACGTCAGTGTGGTTAATGTGCAGAATTGCCAGTAAAATATTGGCACCATGGGTTCCATTGGCTTAGACCCTACCTGTTATCTCCCCCCCCTCCAGGTGTCACCACCTCTCAGACCCAGCAGGCCTGCACCTCTCAGGTACTCCAGCCCGAAGAAGTTCTCTACTTCCGCAAGAAGAAGAAGCGGCCCATCCTCCACGACCCGTACACTCGCTTTTCTGCTCTGCTGTACCGCCGCCCACCCCGAGAGGACCAGAAGGCTATTCTGGCCAGCATGGACAACATAGACCTGGACCACGCCACGCTCCTCTGAAAGCCCTTGAGATCAAGGTTACAATCATGCAATATGCCCTCATTCCAAAAACAACACTTGCAAAATACCGTACGGTAAATACAAACAAGATGTTTTGTCGGCAATGTATTGTCTATAAATGGGGCAAGCACTAAATTTCAGCTCTCAGATTTGGTAAAAAGTTTGTTAAAAAGTACAGATTAGTGATTGTGCGCACACAAAATTTCTGAACATTTGTACTTTTAAAGAAAAAAAAATCTTACCGCTAAAATCTAATTGCAGTCCCGTCAAATATACATTGTAAATCAAAACAAAAGCTGTCAGAAGTTTTACTCCAGTGCAAAAAGATAAATTCAAAAAGTGGCGATACATTTTCCAAACCAAACCAGTTTTCCCTCGTCAGTGTTACAGTTTTGGCTTCTCCAGACCCACATCATGTTTCTTTTGCTGAGTCCCCCCAACAAAAAAACTATCCTTTGTAGGTCTCCGTTTACAGCCCCTTCAAGCAACGTCTCCTTTCTACCGAGAAACCTGCCTCACAAATGTGGACGTTCTCACTTCCTACCGATTATACCTCAGAGCACAGGACACGAGACCACACGACCACCAGACCAGCCAGCACAACAAACTAGCCTTTCTCCATCTCTTTACTAGCTCTGTGTTCCACTGGCCTCCCGTACAGAATATCCACATGTTAAAGCTCTGTTCCCTTGGGTTGTTTCTTTAGATGTGTATAGGTAGCGTTCATTTAGCTTGCATGATGATAATTTGGTCACATTCTAACACAAAATGACTTCACTCAGCCTACTGAAGGGATTCTCTTGACTTTTACCATATTCCATTTGTTATGGAACGGACCGTACATTTGCATTCCACACACTAATGATGAACCACTAAAGCGCTGATTCAATTACTTTCAGTTGCTCTATGTAACCTGTAACTGTTTGCACTGGAGCAAAACCTTCTCTGTTTTACTTCCAATGTGTGTTTGCTTCTTTACATCCACAGTTCTTCTACTTTAGGAATGTAGAGGGTTCAGAAAGACCTATAGTTATGCCAAAAGCAATTCAATTACAAAAAACATACCTAGTGGAGGGTCAGACTGTGTGCCATAGTATACTATAGTATTCTCTTCATGCATAGAAGGAGGGCATGACAAACAATGGCTTTGTTTGGCCTTAATTGAGCTTCTAGTTGGTTGCCTGCTTCACTCGTGTCTATTATTTATTTCTAATCAATTGTTTTTGTAGTTATTTTTCTTTGTGTGTGCTAATGTAAGTACCCTCCTCTTTGTGGGGGAAGAACTTGGTTTGTGACAGTTTTACTTACATACTGCCCCACTTTCAGTTTGAAGCTTCCAGTAATGAGATGATTCAACTTTTCAATGAAAATGTCGCGGGCTGTTTTTATTGGATGCGTGCCATAACATCAAAAACGTAACTGTATCACCCACCACACACGTTTGATCTCATTCATATTTTAGATTTAACAGAGAGGTTGTATACTGAAACAGTTTGCTGCTGTTTTTTAAATGTTGTATTTAAAGGTGCTCAGATTCTTCAGAAGTTGAATTCATAACATATCTCGGGTTTCTGTACTTCTGAAATGTGAGTAGCATCGCTCATAGTTATTTACTTGTTTGGTTTTTTATTTTCACTGGATCCGATTCTGTTAACCACAACATAGGCTTCTGTAATCGACCCAATTCTCAATCAGTAAACTTGATTAAGATATTTCCACAATGAATGCCTGCAAAATGAGAGTTGTGAAACTATTTAAGAGAAACTGACTTCTCCTCTAATATTAGATATTGCAGGAAAAGTGTATAATGTGATGATAAATGATGAGATCTATTTACATAAAGTCGTCATGCACATACATTGGGCTTATTTGATCAGTTACAAAAAATCGAATCGTTTTAGTAAAGAAGCTAGTGCCTTTATGATGGAATTATGGTGTCTGCAACAGTTGGAGCATCTGGTAGCTAACAGAAAAGAATGTGTCAATATAATAATAATATAGCACTTATTGTGGAAATAACTTTTATTTAATTACATTTAATGTTAACAGGTCATCACAGGGCGCTGAGCAGTTGTATCAAATACTTGATGCTAATGGTGCTAAGCGAGCCGCGTATGTGCAACGCCATACCGGTGAGCATATATATATTAATGATTACAAATGCCACTTTCAAGACCAGGCGCTAGAAGGCGCTTGTTGGAGAGATGCGGTGGGATTTTGAAATCATCCGAAAGAGCCCTCTTCCTCTATAAAACCCTTTATTTATAGTAAATGAACCACAATATCGCAGGCTCTGCGATAATGTTCCCCAAGACAAACATTTCTGAATTATCTCAAAGCAGTCCCTTAACGTTTTTTACCAAAGATGGAACGTTTTTAGGATGGAATCAATACTAATCAGGGGTTTAAATCATAGATTTAAAACAAAACTAACTGTATTCACAATAAGAACAGCTTCTATTGTACACACATCCAATATACACACCTGTTTTTTTTGAGGAATTAACTTAAAAATCATTGGCACTCTTTCCACGCAACGGGACGGGACTGTTCCATGTTCTAATTACCCCATCTTTCTAAGACTGGCAGATGTGAAAAACACAGATGTGGAGAAAATACCTAAATATACATTGTATTAATCATGGAAATGTGTAGAATGAATCTATATATTGTAAAATGGAAAGAAAAATATAAGTAATAGAATATTTTACTAAAATTGTGCAATATTCATGCAATTACAGAAATGAATCTGAAACATATACCCATTTATTTTTATCTGAATATGAATGAGTTATTTTGTCGATATATGGAACTAAACAAGGTGAGCATTTACATCCCCTTCGATGCAAAGTGTAAACTAACCCATTAAAAGCCCTGAAATTTGCACCGCCCTGTGCATAGTGAGGGTTCAGTGCTATCATTATATTTTTTCATGTTTCTGGTTGAATGTAGAGGGAACGAACACCTTGAGTAAACTCAGAAAGGCCCAGAGGTTTGGGGTTTTTTTGTCAGAAATTGTGTCTGCAGGAGGTACAAAGGGCTGCTGTGACACATCTAATCAAGGACAGTGTGAGCTGGACGGACGAGACATCTTAACAAGGCTGAGCAGGAAGCCAGACCTGCCTCAGCGTAGAAGTACTGTATACCTCTTAATATACCACTGTGAAATATGTACATAGTATACAGTATAGTGAAAGATATTACATGGCAACAGTTGAATGCTACTGACAAAAATGGGAGATTGCCACTTCTATAGTAAGCGATCTGTAGTTGTTTGTAACAAAAGCTGTGGTCCTAAATATAGAAAAAATACACCTGAGGAAACAGCTTTGAGGCTTTTAAACTGACTGCAAAACAATAAATTAAGCTGACCGTGAAGGGGAGACACCACAGGAGGACAATTTGAACTAATAGTTATCAACGTGAGACTTCTCTGTTTATTTAAATGTTACAGTTTTGAGCAATAAAATGTTCAATGAAGATAAAGGTCTACAGTATATATGAAAAAATGAACCTGGGGAGTTAAGTTTATGTAATGCTGCTGAACATATTTGGCTCATTAGAAAACTTAAAATACATGTTGAAGTCATTGAAAAATGACAATTTATGTTGTTTTCTCAAATGTTTAGTTAACATGATAAACAAGGTCTGGTCCAATGGTCACTTTTAGGTGAATTTGGGAGAAATTGTGTATTTTGGACTTTTTCTTCCCACTAGACCAAAATCTCTAAATTGACCAGTGCATATAAAACAATTGTTACCGGCAGTTTCTCCCCATTTACAAAAGCATTGCGATGCAATAAAATTACATAGATTTAGTGGATTGGAAGCTACAACAGCTAGAATAGATTTAAGATGATTTGGTAATTGGAATGTGTAGAGTTGCTTTTTTTTTCAGTGATCACAATTCATTTAATTAATATTTACGTGCTAGGTAAAGAAAAGTCCAGTCTAGTTGCGCAACTACAATATGACTTGTGTAAAGTCCAGTGCATAGATGTATACTTCTATGTGAAATACATGTTAGAATGATGACGGACTACGTACCATAATGAAGGTTGAGTCACGCATGTATACAGTAGCTTTGACATAGCAGCTCTCGCACTAGAGGGGAGAGGACAGCAACGTACGACTCTCAAAAAGCTTACAAAGCGTTGTGTTTGTGACGGCTAATGGGGAAAAAAGGATTTATTAAGAATTTCTCAGTACTGTATCATTCCGGACTCTTCTGCTCTGGCTCCACATCCTGTACGATGCATTTAGAGAGAGACTGTGGTGCTTACATGTGCCGCACAGGTTGTTCTGTTGTGGACGCATTGTAACCCGATACTCCCCCTTTAAATGCACCTCTCTGACCTCATTGCATCTTATTTATAAAACTTTGCTTTTTGCCCAAACATGCAACTAACTGTTGTAAAAATAGTTTTTAATTATCATATCACTGAGATCCATGAGATTTCTGTAAATATATTGACATATTCCCATTTGGACTCAAAGTCAGCTGTTAGCTGACATTCTCACAATGTTCTTGATCTATTAGCATACGTCACAAATTTAAACGTTCTTCTGCACAGACTTGTAAAATAACTGGATAACAATGAATTACCTGACATTTACAAAAGGATCACAACTGTGATCTGACCTAAATTTTAGATGATACACGATGCGAATTGCGTTATGATGTATCTTTTCTCCTCATTTGAGTGTACAAAAAGGCATCACATATTTGAGATTTAACAACAAAAAAACATTTTGTTACTCTTTGTAAATAATATCCCAAATAAGCTTTACTTGTCATATATCTATTTTTTGTAGAAGAAAATATGATGCACATTCAACCCTATTGAGTGGGAACTGAGTACTCTCCTTCAGTGACACAATATAAAATGTCGCAGCAGACCCATCACTATCTTCTAAATGCTAGAATTTAGTTCAAGAATTTAATGTCATAGAGGCAGGAAATATAAATAGATACAAATATATTGTCATTGAACTAAAATTGATATATATATATATATATACATACATATGTGTGTGTGTGTCTATGTATGTATATATATATATATAATGTGTGTGTGTGTGTATATATATATATATATATATATATATATATATATATATATATATATATATATATATACACACACATATATGTGTGTCTGTGTGTATATATATACATATATCTACACACATATGTGTGTGTGTGTGTATATATATTTGGGGATAGTACTTGTTTTCAAGAATGTATAAGTCTATATTCTATTATTTTTATATCCATTTGTTGCTCTTTATTGTAGCAAATAGACAAAGTAGAGAAAATGGGTCTCAGTTTTTTAGCTTGTGTGCAAAACAAAAGAGAATGGTGCACCAACACTGTCACTGTACTGTATCTCACGTGTGTCACACGGAGAAGGAACAGCAAACTAGCTATCATAGCTATGTCCATTTGGTGTGAATAGAAAATGTACTTGTTGTATTATGTGTGGGCCATCTTCTTACCTTTACTACCTAACTATATACATACATTTTTCACCAGGAAAGCTTCTGCGTTTACACACACATTTTTTTTATAATTTAATTTAATTTTTTTGGCATGAAAGAATGGCAAGACTCTCTTTCCCGACTATGGTGCTCCTTTGCGACCTGAATCACAGCAGAGCACACAAACATTAATGTAATCTACGGATAGAAACCTACATATTTACAGTATGTGTGTGACAGGGCGCAGTGCTTCATGAAGGTTCCTAAAGGGAGGGTGCACGGGAGGCACGTGCGAGCTAACGCTAGCATCTCCAGCCTTTGGCTCAGAAGTGGGGGGAGAGTGGCTGCTAAACGTTTCTCCTAGACTTTCAATTCAGTGCTGTACATTGCCAAAAAGAAACATGTGATATACATTCTGACAACTGGTGCTATTTAAACACATCTGTGGTGCTTTTTTTGTTTGATGTTTCCTTGCTTCAGACAAAATGTAGCTGTACAATCCTGTACTGTAAGATTGCCGTCAGTCAGTGTTGGAATTTAGATGGTTTGCTTTGACTGCTCGCTGTTTCAGGGAAACACAGATAATTGAACGGCTAATTCAAAAGCAAAGGAAATTGAAAATGAGCGGTTCACTCAAATCCACATGTCCTAACATGTTTGGTCCCTAGGGGTTCAGTTTACTTTAAGTCTCTTGTTCTTTTTTTTGCTCTGAACTTGCTTCAAAGTCTGCCGATAGTGTCCACACATTGTGTTTGGTGCTGAGTGAACAGATATGCTCACAATGACTTTTGATATTTCTTCATAGACATTCAGCTCACTGGCTCTGTAGTCTTTCTATCAGGTCCGGTAGACATACCACCAAACCCTGCAGGTGCCCTTTCCCTTCACAGAATAAGCAGCATCAACATCTAGTTGTCCTGTGACGCAGCAGCTACAACAGCAACCACTGGGTGGAGGTGGTTGCTTATTAAGAGACCTGCAGTGTTACCATCTTTGAAAACCGGAGGAAGCATTGAAATCTTGTCTTATCTGGATGTTTAAAAGTAGTTAACACTCATCCTTTATGGAGCATCTTTAAATGACAAACCTCATGTTTTTTAAGTAATGTTATGTTTATCCCAAAATGCAATACAAGCGGAAGAAGAACAAGAGAGTTGTCTACTCTCAATTGTTTCCTATAGTCTTCCTCAGATATGTAGAACTGGTTTGAGTTACAGACTTTATTTTAATTTCAGGACCCTGTGGAAAGGAGTGTATTCTCTGTTAGTTACAGGCGTAGACAACTCAGTACCTCAAATTGTCTCTTCATGGAAATCTTCAGTCCAGATATGTACTATTCTGTTTCTTTTTTATTCTTGTATTTTTTTTAATCTTTTTTTTACGTTGACCATCATGGAGAAGTCAGTGCTCATGAAGCTTTTTTATATTTGTTGGCACACACACTAAGAAGAATGTATGGCTAATGTAATTTCTGCTCACTCCCACTCTTTCTAAAAATTAAGCTTTTCAAGCTAACAGCCGTTCTTTTGTATTTCAAATGTCTTGGTATGCTTGTTGTAGTTGTATATTCACAATGGTGTATATTACATCAGTTTTTATTTATTAAAATGTTTGAATTTTCTAAGATGACTGTTCTTGTTATTGAGCATGTATCCTTATACATTTAAAGATGCAGAGATGTATTTACTCTCCTCAACACGTGTGAGTAATGGTGTTGCATGCAGAAAAGACCAGAAACACGGGTCAACCTTTTCAGTCCCTTATGTCCACAACTACCTCCTGTGGAAAAGTTGAAGGCGCCATGTTATGATGAAGGAGTATCCAGACTGAATGCCTCACTGAGGGAACATACTCCTGAGAGAAAATCTGTTAACGATGGTATAATCAGCTATTAATGATAATGATTACTGTATTCAGAACAAGCAGCAGTGCGTGTCTTTCTGTGAGTTCTTGGCTCAACTGAAGAAGCGCTCATCGAATCTTCTTCTCACTTGGTTGGTGTTTTGCTGGGGATCCGAGGGAGTGCTTCGTCAAATTTGGCTCATTTTGGACACAAACGTACATGACCACCCCACCTAGTGCATCCTCCACGGCTCTGTAGTCAAGCACGTAGGCAGACAATCATTCATTTAAATATATCTCTAAACCGGAATAAGAGGAAACAAGTAAATATTCTCTGCGTTTGAATATAGATGAGTTACAAAGGAAACCATTTCTCTCAGGAGCTGATTCGACAGGAACGTTTGTGGTTTAAGGAAAACATCAAAGACCAGACCAGGCGGAATGAATCCACTTGCAGAGCAGCTAAAACAGCTTTAACAGACTTCCAATTCAAGTCAAGTCCAGAATACACATACAACATTACATTGATATATTTATTCAAGTAAACTATGAGTTGGAATGAATTAATATAATCAATCACTTACTGGGGATTGGGAAAAACTACATGTACCACAATGCACCGCTGACGGTGACGTCAGGTAACACACTTCCCACTGTGATTGGCTGACGGGTTTTAACCTGCTGCTGTATGTTTGAAGGTGAAGTTTGTGTGTGAACCCCACACTCCAGAATGTCATCCAGTGGACTTTTGACCGTGCGCACGCAACTTTGTAAACGCCTGGTAAGCGGTAGCGTGTAGCAATGATGCGTTGTGTTTCCTATGTTTCATTGTGATTTAAATTTGAATGCTGTGGCGACAGTCTGTAAACACAAGGCCCCGGTGGTTTGCTCGCGGCAGCCCGGCTAACTTCTGTGTGTTGTCCTTGACCAAAGGAAGCAACCTGGACGGCTCCAACACACCTGGGAGCTCAACGTGGCGTTACGAGCTCTCATAGCACCGTTCCGCTAAAACAACAAACGGATTAACAATCAAACCACATTAGCTAGCCCAATGACAACATTCAAAAAGTCCAAAGGGGTCCTCGCAGGGGGAGGAGGGTGACACAGGGTGACACAAGGTGACACAGGGTGACACGGGGTGACGTCGCTCCTTCGGCGTTCTTAGTCCGTGTTCTGGCGTTGTACTTGGTGCTAGCTAGCTAACGCCAGCTGTGTTGTTAGCATAGCTGCGTATTCCTCTCGTTACCCGCTTGAGTTCAAACGGAGTTCAACTCATGATCACATCAAGGCGCTTAATGTTGACTGTAGTGAGACGTATTCTTTACCCTCCCGTCTTTGACCTGCCACCATAGGCTCACAAGTACGTCTCCAGAAGCTACACGTCTCGCCCGTCGCTCAATGTGAGTACAACGACTTTCAGAACTTGATCACTTTCAAATGTTTTGGACCTCAAGCTCATAAGACCGTTCCGGCGGGTTGCAGGATGTCGTCATCGTTAGTGCGGTCCGCACTCCGATGGGCTCCTTCAGGGGCAGCTTGGCGGCGGTGCCCGCCACCAAGCTGGGCTCCATTGCCATAAAGGGAGCCGTAGACAAAGCAGGTGTGTTCTGGTGGTTCACTTTGCCTGGAGGAACCTGTTTTTTTCCATTAGGCCTTGAGGTAACATCAGCTGATCCTCCTCAGTGATGAGGATGCACATCAGCTGTATGTATGAGCAGGTGGAGGCCTGCATCAGAGGGAGGACCGTGTACATTTGTGTGTTTGCTTTGTAGGAATTGCTCCAGAGGAGGTGAAGGAAGTCTACATGGGCAACGTGCTTCAGGCAGGAGAAGGGCAAGCCCCCACAAGACAAGCCTTGCTTGGAGCAGGTATTGCCCTCATTCTACAAATTTTCGTATGTTTAAATGTCCAAAAATATCTGTGAATCAGAGAGGATAGCACTTGTCTTTCAATGAGAACATATTGTGATAGAACAATAGTTGGCAGTATGGAAATTGATGATTAAAGGACGTACTGACTCGAATTCCATATCAATCTTGTTGCTCTAGAATTCTTATGTCATGCAGTAACTGCAAAATATTTTCTTTAAAAATCATACAATGTGATTTTCTGGATTTGTTTTATATTCCGTCACTCTCAGTTGAAGAGTACCTATGATAAAAATGACAGACATGCTTTGTAAGTGGGGAAAACCTGCAACATTGACAGTATCAAATACTTGTTCTCCGCACTGTAATTGGTGAAAAGAAGCTAATGTAACTTGCACAATAGCTCCGGTAGACGGTCCCCTCTGAAATAATATAGTACCATCGTAAATGATGCAGATTCCTAGTGCCAGACTGACGCGAAGACGCGCAACTGAATGAAGGTCAAGATGCCATTTTCTTTTTTCCCCTATCAGTCTTTGCCAATGCAATTGTTGTGTTTACCTTCAGGCTTGACCCTTGGCACTCCAGCAACCACCATCAACAAAGTCTGTGCTTCTGGCATGAAGGCCATCATGATGGCATCTCAGAGTCTAATGTGTGGACACCAGGTAGGATCGGCATTGGATACACTCTCTTCTGCTCGCTCAAGTCCAAATAAAGACTGACCGCTGCCAAGATCCGGAAAATCTTTGTTGTGCAGAAAATGCGATGTGATTTTTCTTTCTTTTTATTTTTTTGCACCACAGGATTATTTGCATAGTAGTAGGGGAAATTTAATGTAATTTAGTGGCGCCCAACCCCCCACCCCCCCCCCCCCCCCCCCGGCGCGTTTGAGGCGAAGCAAAACATTCACGCTGTGTTTGGTTTGAACACATCATGACACATTTTTACTTTTCTTTGAGAGATCTGCTATAATTAATAAATCCTTTCAAACCTAGGATACAGAGGAAGTGCATCTTCTAATAGCAATTAAACGTGGATGTGTGTTTCAGGACGTTATGGTGGCCGGAGGCATGGAGAGCATGTCCAACGTACCTTATGTGATGTCCAGAGATACCCCGACCTACGGCGGCGTTAGGATGGAAGACATCATTGTTAAGGATGGACTCACTGACGTCTATAACAAATTCCACATGGTAAACCACATGTCAAACTCCTGATAAATATCAACATGCCATATATTGAAATGCTTTTGGTCAAAGCTGTATTATTATTTATTAGTGTGATCTGGAAGAGGGTCTGTGCATGTATACCTTTTTTTTTCCATCACTAAAATGTGATGGGTAATTCGGTTCAGCATTGATCTGTTTGACTTTTTTAGTTTGTTTTGAATTTGCTCTCTCTCTTGCAGGGCAATTGTGCAGAGAACACAGCGAAGACCAGCAGCATCAGCAGGGAGGAGCAGGACGCCTACGCCATTGGCTCGTACAGCCGCAGCAAAGCGGCGTACGAGTCCGGCGTGCTGGCCAGGGAGATCGTGCCAGTCAGCATTCCCCAGAGAGGTACTGGGTCGAGGCCGGGTGACGTTGGTCGTTTATTAAACACAGCCAAGCCTTTCTGATGTGGATGTGGTTCTGCAGGCAAACCAGATTTGGTTGTGTCCGAGGATGAAGAGTGGAGGCGGGTCGACTTCAGCAAAGTTCCCAAACTGAAGGCTGTGTTCCAGAAAGAGAATGGTATTGATGCCGCTGTCATTATTTACATTCTTTTTGAATTGAAAGTGATTCCTTTACAGATCTTTCACACTCAAATAAGAAATATGTGTATAGTGTAGTGCTCCTGGTGCAAATTCTCTTTGAAATGTAGCCCCCTCTTGTCAATTCTGAACACAAGACCCTTTTTTTTTTTTCTTCTTTTTTTACAGTAAAATAATGATTGTAATTTTATGTAAATATTTAAAAATGTTATGTAAATTTTGTTTCTCATCACCTGCTCTTCAGGTACAGTGACGGCGGCCAATGCCAGCACACTGAACGATGGAGCAGCTGCTCTCGTTTTAATGACTGCAGATGCTGCGAAGAGACTCAACGTCACTCCACTGGCAAGGATCGTTTGTAAGACGCGCACACACACACACGCACACACACACACACACCAACTAAGCTGTTCTTGCAAAGCTGAACTGAAAAGGACATTTTTTCACACTGCAGATCCACAGATGAAACATTTGGGGTCACATTTATTCTAACGGGCAGATGTTAGTATGCTAGTTAAGCGGCGTGAAAGCAATGAAAGATATTGCTACAATTAGAAATGCCTGTCTGTATTTAGCAAATTATCAAGTTAAAAATAAAATGGGCATTGTGTTAATGTTTGCAGTTAACACTGCATTAAACATGACCTTTTTATTTGTATTCATATTTAATTGCAAAATTGATATGTAATGTTTTTGTTTAGCTTTTGCTGATGCTGCTGTCGCACCCATTGATTTCCCCATTGCTCCCGCATTCGCTGTACCAAAGGTGAGTACATGTGGCTTTTAGTGATCCTTGAATATTGGGTCTGATATAATACATGTATATACTTACATTACACTTTAAACCCATGGCTTTTTTCACATTTTGGCCTGGGGAGCAATTAGGGGTTAGGTGTCTTGCTCAGGGACACTTCGACATGGAACATGGGGCAGCCTGGACTCCAACCACCAACCTTGTGCTTCCGAGCACACCTTCTCTAATACAAAACTTTACTATAGTGGAAAAATAAGCTGTTGACATGATTTGGATGAAACTTTATCTGCTGAGAGTGAGTTTGAATATTGTCCGGCTATCAAATCCCTTGCAGTATATTAAAGTTGATTTAGCTACGGCTGCTATGATCGGTCACCGGAGACGTATCAAGTAAACTGGTGAAAGATTTGGTCAGCAGCACCGACCAAAGCTGAGAAGCTTTGTGTCATGAGTCAATCGGTGTATGTATCACCTGGGAGACTGAACATAATTGGCAAATTATTTTTAACTTGTACACTCATTGACAATGAATATATCAATAATGGAAGGATGAACTCTATTTCCCCGATACATTAGGAAATGCTCCAGTAGGATCCTAGGGGTCTGCTTTGGACATCTCTTAATTCATCTCTTTTGCTCATCTGTTTTTACAGTTGTGTTATTTTACGTTTCAACTTGGTTAATCCCAGCAAACGATGTGACATTTTGCCCAGCAGTGAAGCTGAAAGAGTTTGTGTATTCCTTGTGTTATACGCCTCGGCTGTGCTTACAGCCATGACCGGGGCGTTATGTCTTATTAGAATTTTATGATTAAAGGTCCTTTTTAGCTTAAGAATTCATAGGTTATTTATGACAATTCCACAAGGATAAGATAATATGATGAAGTAATAACATTCTGGATCAACGTGGATGTAAACTGCAACTTCACTGATTGTTGGAGACTTACAACCCAGAGGCATTAATTCTTGTGTACATTGTAGTTTATTAAGTAAATTCCATAAGAGCCAGGTTTAATTCATGTTAATCTGTTTCGACAAGGTCTCATATTCTGTTGAGAGATATATGTATTTGGGTCTAAAAGAGCTAAACGTTTTACGTGTGTTTGTGTGTGTGTGTGTGTCAGGTCCTGGGTGCAGCGGGGTTGAAGAAGGATGACATCGCCATGTGGGAGATCAACGAGGCGTTCAGCGTGGTCGTGCTGGCCAACATCAAGATGTTGGACATCGACCCCAAGAAAGTCAACGTGAACGGGGGTGCCGTGTCGCTGGGACATCCCATTGGGTAAGCAGCTGAGTCACACTGAGTGAACTAAAAGTATAATTATTCTCCTTTGGATGTGGAAACTGTCAAGTAAGACACAAAAAGTAAATTAATGACATTTAACCTCCCACCTAAGTAGTTGGTTGGTTTTTCAGGACCGTTGTCAAATACCATTTTCTTCTCCACTTGTACTAAATTCTAATTGCTGTGTAATTTCGTTCACAAATTGTTTGTATTCAGCCACAATTCTCTTGTTTTTCTTCATAATCACTGTAAGCTATTTTTAGCATTAAAACTGCGCGCGTTCAGGCAAAGTTCTGGTCACTGATGCTGTATTTTTAGGATGTCTGGGGCGAGGATCGTCGGCCACATGGTGCACAGTCTGAAGTCAGGCCAGTACGGACTGGCAGGCATCTGCAATGGAGGTGGTGGAGCGTCATCTATTCTGATCCAGAAAATGTAGGAACGTGGATGTAGGAACTTGTGTCTCTGTGAAACACTGTGTTCACTAGCTGTGGTCTCCAAAGGCTCTGGCATCTGTCCACTCCCCTTCCTTCTGTGAACAATGCCTCTGTTACACCTTCATGCCAGTGGCCCTACCCAGGCAGCAAAGTGGGACCTGATACCTGGCGCGACGCCAGTGTTCAAAACACTCCTTTTGTTTGATGAAACAAAATGTATTTCTGAATTGAAATGGTTAAATAAATAGTAAAAATGAAACCACTTTTGTGTTATTAATCTATTCGTGATTTTGATTTAGAAATAACTTTACTACCGTAATATATAGTTGGCCAATACATGCTTCCCTTACCTCTATAATGTGTGCACATTAACCATGCAGTATGTAACGGTCAGTGGTGAATTTTGTGTTCTTAGTTTTTGTCCAGTTGAAAAAGCCCAATGTCCTGCCCTTATGATTCATTAGCATACACGTGTGGTGTGCAAATACAAAAGGCCTTAAATTATGCAAAATATGTTGATCAAAAAATGTACAACATATTTCACACAACACTTCCTTGCACAGGTGCTGATTCTTGGCAAGTGGCCACAACGCCCTGGAAATTACTTTTTATGGGGAAAGGAAGTTAATTGACTGGCATTTTTACAAAGCCGTTATTTCCGGGTATGCAGTTTCCTTGTCCTCGGGTAAGTATTAACTCCTAAAATATTATTTTAAAATTTGAGCGAAAACGGTCTTTATTCCAGTTTCTGAATGGTGTTGTTTTTCTTCGCACAATCCCCAACACCATAAACATTTTGTTAATAAAATCAATGTGTTTTTATTTATTTATTTTAAGCCAGTTTTGTGAAAACAAGTGCGTAAAGCACTGTAAAATAACTGGACCACATGTAATTCACAAGTAGTTTACACCATACCCTGTTACAGTGAAGCAGTGAGGAGGAGTATGCTAAGAAGGAAAGAATGGCCTTCGAGGTGATCACTTGATGGGACTTTCTGTTCTCGTGGTCTCTTGCTGGTTCTTCATTCCTTTGTTAGTGCCAGTTAACGCAGTCCGGCTTTCAGTTAAATATTAACAGGGTCTGAAAGTCCTTCAACCAAAAGTATTTTTAAGCACACTTGCCTGTTTGTTTGGGCGTTACTGATTAAACTGTCAGACATGCCTGGTTTGGAGGATGGAGAATAGCTGGTGCGATGTCTCTATGCCTTTTCCACTTCACTTCACTTTCTAGTTTTGGTCCTATTGGGCTGAATCTGATTGAAGGGTTATCACCTGTGTACCTTTCCTCTCACATTGTGATTACATTGTTTGTAAAATACAAAGTTATGTCAGCTATTTCCCCTGTATTATTTACAAAATTGCCCTGCTTGTGGGACGTTTGAATTTCTGTTTGGTTTTAGTTTGTAAGATAAGATTTTTGTACCGACTCATTCCAACTGTTTAGTGAAATCCAACAGGGAAGTTTTACCACACACCCACCGTATTCACTTCTTCAACGAGGTTTTGTCATAAATCAATAGGTCATTAGTCTCACTTTGATTACACTCATCTCAGTCTAGTATCCGCAGGCATCGGTTTTGGCCTTGATCTGTTCCGGCTTCTTGCCTGTTTTGAAGTGTTGCGCATCGATCAGGTGGCGCCCAAACAGGGTGACTTGTGCACACAGTGGGACGGGTGTGGTCACGGCTGTTTAATAAATAAAGGAATGGGGGGGACATGAGGCAGAGAGAGACGGACAGGGAGTCGAGGTACAGACCTCAGAGGCAGAAGGGATTTGTAGCTCTTTCAAGGTAGGTGGATATCTGGTGCACAATATGGATAAAAGTGTTCATCTTAGTGTGAACTATTTAGTCGGCCTACCCGGGTGGCGTGTGAGTGTTTTTGGCTCTGTTTTTTTTGTAATATCAAGCCTAAGAATAATCAGTCATTTGGAGATAATTGTAATGTCTGTTATGTAGTTTTGTTCAACCTAGTGGTTATGTTTCTGAATATTTCTGTAATTTATGCTACAGTTTAGTCATGAGGTGAGTCATGTAGCCTGCTGTACTCATGGCCAGTTGTCTTTTGATTTTTAAAATCGTTCAGAACCTTTTCATCGAGCCACAGTCTCCCTCCCCAGAACGTGTAACCAATTTCGTTATGAATGATAATTGGGTAAGTTCATTTTAGGTTTTCCTTTTCATTGTTGGCATATATTTTACTGTAGAACACACCACCGTATCAGAATCAGGATCACCTTCTGTCATCTGAGGATTGTTTTTGTGATTTCTTCCTTAAACGTCTCCACTGCACCTGCAGGCAAATGGTCCCACCTATGACAACATCGGGTTCCGCCATGACGAAGGGAGACCCCCTCCTACGACCCCTCAGCAGGGTATGTACCCTCACCGCATACAAGCGACCCCCAGCTACGTCGCCGCGCCTCCCAAAACCATCAACACCCACCACACCGTGACGCCTGGACTTAACCCTGACCCGCGCCCCACGGGCCCAAAGACAGGTACAGTAACGGATGATTGCTGTTGCCTTTTGTGAATGTGTGGGTTCAGCGAAGAAAGGCAAATATCCAGAACAAAAACAGCTTCATTTAACAGAAATGATGCCATACTAAAGGCTCGACTAAATGACTCAAACCAAATATTGAATTAATTAGCAATATAACAAACTGCTGCAGTTTTACTAACGCAGCTGAAAGGTAAAGCATTGTGTAAGTGAAGTAAGAAGGTTTTATCCAGCTCTATATTTTGCTGCTGTTTTATAATGCACAGAACTACTGTCCAATATCCTCACTGTCTGCTGATTTTAAACAAAATAACATAAAATAATGATAAATATATACAAGCAATTATGTTAGAATACATGAAGTTAAACTATATATTTTGAGTGATAAAAACTTCCCCATCACGGTCATGAGGTTTCAAGCGCTGTATCACATCAGTGATTTAAAGCTCCATAGCGCGGTGTGTAAATTATTGGGATGAGGAAGACTTTACAGTTCACTATTTCATCTAGAAAAGTACCCTCGGGAGAATGCACAGCTCTGCAAGGTGTTTCATCATCTCACTAGCGAGCCACTTGTGGAGCCTATTGGTCGGCTAAGAGTCGGCAGTCCACGACGCAGAGAAACAGCCGAAACAAGTATGACGCACCACGAGAGGTTCCTGGAGCATACAACCCTAAATATGCAAAGAAAACATCAGTCCAATGGGTCCAGTTGTACTGTATGTAGAGCTGGGAACACACACACACACACACAGCGATTCTGTGTGTGTGTTCGGGTCACAGCTAACGTTTGGCGAGAGACACAGTACACCCTGGAGCGGCTGCCAGTCAATCACAGGGCTCAATTTAGAGTCACCAATCAATCTTATCCACAGAGCACGTCTGTGCACTGAGGGAGGAAACCACCTCCAAGTTATATATCATATCCTATAGATTCTTCATAAAGAAAATGCAGAAGCTTCCCTCAGTTTTGTGTCATTGCTGTAATTTTGTTTTACAGTACGTTTTGTTTTTGTATCTGCTAGGCCGTTTTGCATGCACATATATATTTTTTAACAGTTCTTTGTTTGCATTGCAGGAACAAGGAAATGTCAGGGGAAAGATATTTTAAGTGCATCACTGTTTGTGCTTCTCATCCTGGCAATTGCCGCCACGCTACTCTGGTACTTCTGTAAGTTCAGTAGAAGAGCCTTGTGCCTGCATCAAACGTCATTTTCTTCACCCGTGTGTTTGGTTTGCTGTGTGTTGTAACACGCGTGATGCCTGCTGTACACGTGTGTTTGCAGTGTACTACCAGTGTTTACTGGGAAGGTCGTGTGGCAACTGGGACAAGTGTTTGAGCTCCTCCCAGTGGTGTGACGGTGTAAAGGACTGTTCTCATGGAGAGGATGAGTCTCACTGCTGTGAGTCATTTACATCAGCACCTTCACTTGCACGCACACATTCAATCAGTGAACGCCATGGCGGTGAAAGAGTGTTGTCCTGCCTGCTCCACAGTTCGCCTCCATGGGATCAACCTCATGCTTCAGGGCTACTCATCAGAGCGGGCGGCCTGGATGCCGGTGTGTGCTGAAAACTGGGACAACGACTACGGGAGAGACTTGTGCGAGATGATGGGGCACAAGAGGTGCTGACCGCCTTCTTCAACACTGGCCACACCCTCTTCCAGCTCAGTCTAACTGCTGCACCACACATGACACTTAAAATAAAGTCATGTTTTTTTAACTGTACAACATGTGATCTGTAGTGTACAACAGGACTTAATAGCTTAATGTCCAAACATCAGATTTTCTTCAGTTTGATGGCGGGATCCGAAAAATGTTTGAACATAATTAGACAACTTTCAATAGAAAAGAAGGTAATTTGCAAACCCAGAACTCAGAATTATTTGCACCATTGTAGGCCAATGTATTGCAACACCCCCCAAAGAATTGAAAGACAAAGTCCTCGCGTGCGCTAAACTACATCAATACATTTTTTTCCCCCTCTGACAATAAAAAAGCTAATCTCTGAAAAGTCACTCAGATTTATTTCTCCTTAGATGTTAATTTACCAATCTAAATATAACCTACAAAAAGCATTTTAAGTATCAATCTTACTTTTGTTTTTTCCATAAAATATGCTTGTTGTGCTATTTTCGGCAAGGTCTCCCAGCAAGTTGGGGGATAAGGACTCAATACAGAGAAATGTGTAGTATTAGCCAAAACATAATGTGAAATACAGTATACAAAAATGAATTGCTGGATCTCGATATTGCAATCATGTTGCTATTAGTATCTTTATTATTTGTGTTAATAATTCGGTGGACCGGATTCGGTGCAAAAAAGAAAACTACTTCAGCTCCTGCTCCAGCCCAGGTCCTATTCTCTCACTCGCTAGTAGGAGGTACGGGGGTTGTCCGACCCTGCTGCAGGAAAAATCACATTTCCCAAATGGAATTTGGCGCTGGAAAAGAGCGCAAAATAAAAGTAAAAAAGTAATATGATCTACAGATAAACATAGCATAAACTGCGGTCTGCAAGAAACCAGATCAACATTGCGAGTTGCTGATATCTTAACCTCTTTTTTAAAGTGTGTTGATCTCCCCTGGCTCATCACACATTGGTCCATCCCACAGGCAGGATTATAAGTCCTCCACCCAAACCAGCGCAGGTTCTATGGCCTCAAAGGGATACATGAAGCTGAAGACTCGAAGTAACCACGGAGCAGCTCTACAGTCGCTGCTCTCCTACAGGTATAACACTTATCACCCAAAACACTCTGTAAGCTGTATCAGTCTTACATTTCCACGATTGTTTTATCCTTACCAATTTCTGTGATCCTCTCCTTTGCAGCCAACAGTGCTCAGGCCCAGTAGTCAGGCTTCAATGTCTTGGTAAGATTTCGCTTTAACAAGTAAATTAAGGCTAACTTTAGCACTTACAAATGTAGGAATTTAGGTGACCTGAGCAAATTCTGAAAATGTGATTTAGCCATGCAGGAGTCAAATATCCACTAGAACACAACTTACCCCCCACCTCCCCTTAGCATGCGGAGTGAGTTCAGCACCCCCCACTTCTCGCATCGTGGGTGGAACGCAAGCAGCACAAGGGGCGTGGCCGTGGCAGGTCAGTCTGCAGATCAACGGCAAACACGTTTGCGGAGGCTCCATCATCAGCCCTCACTGGATCCTATCGGCCGCGCACTGCTTCCAAACGTGAGCTTTTGTCTTCTCAAATGGACTCAATTATACCATCTCTATTGTCTTGTTCATTTTTTTCACTGTTTTGTAGAGATTCAGAAAATAAACGTCCTATCCTCTGACTGCTTGACCTCATGGCAGGTTCTCCTTTGCTGAAATGTGGAAAGTACAGTCGGGCGATGTGAGCTTGCGCCAGATGAGCGTCCGCTCTGGCAAAAGAGTTAAAAAAATTATCATGCACCCAAAGTTTAACAGGAATACTAACGACAACGACATCGCCCTGCTCAGGCTCAACTCGCCTCTCCAAATCACAAGTTAGTATTTCATCATTTAAAAGACAATTTCTTCATTGGTAACGGCCAACATTGAAGGCATATTTGTGTATCAGGTACGGTGATGCCAGTGTGTCTCCCCAACTCTGCCATTGACCTGTCTGCTGGACGTGAAGCCTGGATCACGGGATGGGGAGCACTGCGCTCTTCCGGTGTTTATATTTTCCAACTTCTCATGTGTCCTTTCAGAACTTGTCATTAGATTATTTGTCCAGAATGTGTGAAAGGGTCAATTATATTTTAAGGCTGAAAGTCCCAGTAAGGGTATTTTTGACTGAGCGGAACTGTGGGTGTGGTTATCATTGATATTTCTCAGGACCTTCTCCGGACCTCCTCAATCAAGCAGCGGTCACCATCTACAGCAGAAAGACCTGTAACAGGGCTCATGTGTTGGATGGAACGGTCACTGAGACCATGATCTGTGCCGGCAAGCTGCGGGGAGGAGTTGACACATGTCAGGTTAGAATGAGTTTGTTGCCCATGTCTCACACACACACGCACACACGCACAGACCTGAGATACTGTCTCCTGCAGGGGGACAGTGGAGGACCCCTGGTGGTCAAGCAGGGAGATGTATGGTGGCTGGCAGGGGACACTAGCTGGGGGATCGGATGTGCTCTCAGGAACAAGCCAGGAGTCTACGGCAATGTCAGCCACTTCATCAACTGGATATCTGAACAAATGCAGGTACGCTATGTTTATGAAAGAAGAATAGTTATTCTCATTATCTGTACAAATGCTATTAAAATTACTCAAATGCAATGTTGCTTGTGAGAAACATTGCACCCTCGTGAAGGCCAGTAAAGTTCCAGTTTAAGTCTACGGCCGTCCAAAATCCATTTATTATTTTATCATTTTAGATATTTGTATATAGATATCAGTTCATCCTTGAGGTGGATTTCAGTGTGCAGCATTCCATTTGATATCATGTCCACAGGAACAGTGCAGATTTGAGATCCTATTGACCTTTGATTTCCAAAACCATATCCATTCATCCCAGTCGTGAACTTTTGGGTTTGATAAGTGAAGCCACTGCAGAAGTACCTTCAATCTGCACTTTTCATCAAGAAGAGACTCTTCTGGTTGCATAGAACACTATGAGGAAATTACTCTACTTTTCTCTTGATTACCTGAGTAAACATTGTAAACACGGTTTTATTGTCCCCAATCCATCTATATAATTATTACTATTTTTCACTCAAAGTATTCATCAATACAGCATGATGTCCATTAAGTAAATGATGTTCCCTCTAAAGTCAAATAGGCCATGAAGCAGAGAATGCTTTAGGGCGGGGCTACCTTGTGATTGACAGGTGGCTACCACATTGTTGTGCGGCCTGGAGGCTGTTAGTGGTTCCGTCCAACAACTTGAACCCGATCACATGGTGTTTTCACCTCATGAAGGAATTTTCCTACGTGGACTTCTGGTTGCGAAAAGCCAAGATGCCACAAATAATTAAGGTTTTTAAACCAAGAAGGTATAGAAATAGTAATATGACTAGTAACTATGCAACGTGTTCATGTTTTTAACTGTGTTTTTCATTTATCTGCACAGAATGATTGACTGAGTTCTGGATGAACCCAAAGACAAACCTTTTTCATCAATCAGCGGTACTTCCTCTATCACACACTGTGCACTTTAAATCTGAAACTTCAATGTATCATTATATTATTTTTATATAATTCTTCTCATTAGCACAGATTGAATGTTTGTATCCGAAACAAAAATCTATCTATTTATTTGTTTTAATAAAACAAATGTTGCACTATGAGCAGTTTCAATTTGATGTGACACATGAGGTGTAGACGGAGAGACAGTTGGACAATACAGAGCTCTAAAAAGATGACTTCATTCACTTCATGAAGTATAACTATACTTAACTATATGAATATAAAGTTACTTTTCACCAATAACTACGGGCGGATGTGGGCAGACGAGTGCTGTTAACAGCGCAGCGGCTCCCGGTACTGTCAGCTGCATGGACCCGGGGGGGGGTTCAGGTGCGAGTGGGGTGGGGGTTAAAAACACGACGACATTGGTCAAATTCACATAACAGGCAAGTCACGGCCGAGTCGCAGCGGAAGTGACGCAGGCGGTCGACGAATGGATCCTTAAGGATGCAGCCTAGCGACTTTGAGACACAGCCACTATCATCACAGATGCCCACTGGCCCCCATGAAGCAGAAGATGGCAGCTTCCTCAAGGGGAGGAGAACGGCAGCAGGAAGAGTAGGCCGGTCCGGGTACCACGGTCCTACCGGAAATAGGACCACTCTTTAATTCTTGAATTCGTAGGACAAATGAAGAGTCTGATTGGAGGTTTTTAAGTTAAGACACTTTGTGATATAAAACCACATATTTTTTTTCAAAAATTCTATTAGTAGGCCTATGGTTAATTTTACTTGTACATGTCATCATTAACCTACATTTATACTCATGTCAGAACCAGACTCTTTCTGTGCAAACACTTAAGGATCAATAACTTATATATCTTCGCCGTAACAGCCTCCTTGACCCCCACCAGTCAGACTTCAGAGCAGGCCATTCCACAGACTGAGACTGCTCTCCTCGCTGTCTCCACAACTCCACACTGCTAGAGCCGCCTCTCTCTCCTCTGTAATCCTGAATATAGTGTGTAAAAAGTTTTGATCCATAAGAACTAATGCAGAAGCAATGGTCAAAGACGTCCTTGCTCCAAAGGCAGTGGCTGAAAAATATAGAGCTGAGTTAAAACTATATTCATCCCGACAATATTTTTCGTCCACTTTTTGAGTAATTCCCCTTGTTTGTGGAGAAGGGGCCTTAGACCTTCAGCACAACATTTTTTCAAAATAAAAAACACCAGCCGCCACTGCGTTTCTAAACATTCTTTGAGAGAGCATGATCACTATAACAAGTCTATCCTATAACAAATAGAATATGTATAGTATAGTGACAAGTTGTCACTAGTACCAGCAGGTGTCTGTGTTGCACTGCGTGCAGCGTGGTTGCATGGGTTGTAACGGCAAAGTGTGCTTCACCTAAACCAGGGGTCTTTTCAGGCCATGGTCCTGCAAACTGATGGCGAGATGGAGCAGGGACGCCCTATTCTATTCGAGTTTGGTCTGCCATCTTTTATTTTTGAGCTTTACGTTCTTTAGACGTGAGCGTAAACGCGATCTGATTGGCTAGTGCCTGTCCTGTTGTATTTGCATGACAGAAGCTGAGAGAGCTCCTGTGGGTAGCTGAACGTGTGTATTGCGGACTGGAAGATAACAAAAACTATTCTGTATTTGTCTAATCTTGAACACCAGCTTCTGGTCAGTCTGGTAATGATGTGCTGCAGCGAAGGTTTACAACAAGCAGCACAGGCTGCGCTGTTGGTATTCTGAACCGACTAAAAGGCTGAGAGGAGCTAAATGCAACTATTGATTATCTTAATAATTGATTGTCTACATATTAATTATCTTCATTATTATTTACTGGGTATTGCGTCAATTAATAGAGAAGTTAAATAAAAATACTATTTATTTCTCACAGCTTATTGGTAATTATTGATTGAGCAACAGCAAGTTAACATACGGTATATATTGGGTTTTTTTCTGAGCAAGTACCATAAGAATCATTTTTCTTTTATCACGAAAGAGCATAAACAGTCAATGTTCAGTAAGGTTCCTTGTTAGAGAGGTTAAAGTGTTTTTTTAGTCTGAAAAGTTTGTATTTCCTTTGAATGTGAGCTAACAATGCTTAGTGATGCAGGTTGAGCCGTTGCCCGAGGACAAAGTTAACTTTTAACATCCACAGTTTTATCTATTCTTCCTACTTTACATTTTCTTACTCTGCACTGAGCCAGTTGCTGAGACACACACAAGGTCATTTACGCTTTCTGAAGAAACTTCTCTTCTTCTGAACAATATGACCAGCAAGAGAAAACCACCTTTCACAGGCTTCAGATGTTGTACTTCAGACCGCTTCAGTCTGCATGTCGTCAGTGAGAACAGTTGGTGCTCGTTTTAACGCCGTCACTCCATTTTCATAAAACGTATGTTTTCTCCTCACGGTTGTGCGTGTTGTTAGTCTGCTCCAGTGGTTGTTGTAGTACTTCAGATCGTAGTACTTGATAAGATACTTCCGGTTTGCAGTGATTACAAATAGCTTCTGGTCGAGATTTCAAATGAAAATGTCCATTTAAAAGCGCAGTACCTTTCTCCATTTTCTTAATGTGCGCAGCAGCGTTAAGCCCCTCCCAGTGCAAAAGAAAGAAATGCTGTCAACACGTGATAAAACCATTGTCAGCGTTAATGGATTGTTAAGTTAACACATTTATAACGCGTTAATGTGCCCAGCCCTAATTTATTTTTATTTATCTATATATTTTTAATGAGACCGTCTTAGCCTGATGGAATTGTTTAAATTGTATGTGCTTCATTTCATAAAATGTATTGATGCTTATTAATAACTAATTATTAATGTAATTGTCAGAGGCATTTGAACTCTCAAGATGATGTTGGGACATTTGCTAGGCTTATAATGTCAACGTTTCTAAAAACGACACTAAAAACCTCTAAACTGTTAATTAATCACCCAACCTTGATTCAACATTATATTTTTAGAATATGTTGAAGTGAAATTATTATTGAATTAACTCATTTTTTTGTGATTCTAACCAGATTAACCAGCAGGTCCACAAATAATTGAAAAAGGATCCTACAAATTAGCTTTGCTAAATTACACTTTTGTAAATGTCTATGCAACTGTCTTTCTCTTCTGCTACGCTTTCTCTTTTTCTCCTGTTCTCTCCTCTAGTTTCCTCTCCTTTTCCTTAAGCCTCTCCTCTCGCCTCCCTCTTCTTTGATTTCTCTCCATCAGCTTGCTTGTCTAATTGCTGCTGATGGAGGTTGGCTCACTAAATGGCAGATGCTCAAACCCAGAGCCTGCTTCTGCTACCTGTTTGTACCAATTAATAGGCCCATGATACCGCGCTGACGCCTCTTCAATGGGTTAAAGGATGCCACAATTAGCCACTCATTTGAATAGCCTCCTGCTTAGCGAGAGGACCCTTAGTGCATCATCTCCAACTGTGGGCTCCGCCTTTCATCTATTTGCATTTTCCTTGCTGACTCGCAAATGAGGCATGGAGAGGCCGGGAACCCCCGCGTGTTGAGCAAACAGTCTTTTCACCAGATCCCCAAATTAGACTTACGGGTAGCTGCAGAGTTGCATGGCAAAATGCTCGTCAGACATGAGAAGGCCGGTTCCCAGTGGTCTGCATGTGGACACATTTGGTTCTCTTCTGGCCTGCTGGGCTTTGGTTAGTGTTACTCATGAGGCGATACTAAATCTGTTTAGAGAGTAATCCCTACTACAAGACAATATCACATCTTCTTAAGCATTGTTGCTTTCTGACACACCGCTCACTGAAAGCTTTGTGGTTGTTCTTATACAATGGATGTGAAGGAGAAGCCAACTCGCCTAAACCAACAGACACAGGAGCAGCGTCTCCCCTCAGGTCCTCTCTCTGGTGAGATCAACTGCACCTCCGTTGGCACCATCTCCTCTTTCTGCGCTTTAACCTTAGTGGTTGTGTCATTGTTGTACATGTTTAATATCACATATGTGTGTGTGTATAAATGTATGTTCTTCAAGAGCTGAGTTTATGACGGCAGCCTGATCTCCAAAACCTGTTCCTAAAAATGTATATGAAATTCTTGAACATACAAATTCGTAGCGATACATACGAAATAAATACGGACTGCAACTTATGACGTCACGCTATTCAAAGTGAAAGGGGACCTGCACCCCGTAAACACACTTTGTGAAGTCTAACGATGTAAGAGAGAGACCTTTACTCAAGAATCCAACATGGGCGTGGTTAACCACCGCCAGTTTGTATGCATTGTTACGAATTTGTATGTTCAAGATTTTTGTATACAACAGGTTTTGGAGATCACGTTGATGATGGTTGATTGGGTTTTGGACTGAAAAAACAGAACATTTTAAGAAGCCATCTTGGGCTGTGGGAAGCTGCAGCATATATTATTATATATAACATTTTATAAGAAAAGTAACAATGTTCATGTTATTGGAATGTTCAGGCTAAATAAATGTATTTTGTTAAATGCTTCTGGGCCGTTGTAAAAAGCAGAGTAAGCAACCCACCACTTGAACTAAGGTGGGTGAAGAGTTACAACAAAATGACTGCACAATGACGCGCTAATCTTGTGAAAGAGTGTGAAAAAATGAATTCTCAGAGGATATTTAAGTAAAGAAGAGGCTTGCTGGTGCGGGTCTGCCCTAGTTCTCACCAACACTTTGCCGCTGTGTGAAAGTGAGAATCGTGTGTACGTGTATTTGTGCACACACATGCAGAAGGGTGTGTAAGCCTCTCAGCGTGCATGCACACTCACACGCTACTGTCTATGTTTGAGTGTGTGAGCATTTGCAGTAATCCTTCCCCCTTATGCTTGGATCAAAACAATATGTGTCATTCTTCGCAAAAAAATGTAGTGATGATTATGCAGCCAATAAGGAGGCAGACCCTGTTACTGGGCAGTGCCATGTTTATCCCCCCCGCCCATTCTTTGAGGTGGGTGTCACGCGTCAAGCCTCGTAGACCCTCAGATCTGCATGACGCTTTACGACACACGAGGGTCGTGCGGTTGTGATGAACATCAGCACTCTTGCTGGTTTTGTAGGTCAACCAGTACTTAGCTACGGGTTGAGCACAGCTCCCAACACGTGTAATTGTGTGCACAGCCTTTATTCACAGAGCAAAGGTCACGCAGTAGGCACC